GCAGACTGCTACTTCTTTCTCCCACAGAGCAGTTGGTGGGTTCCAACTGCTGACCTTTTGGTTAGCGGCCAAGTGCTTAGCCACTGTGTCACTGGGACTCCTTCTTACTCCTTTGCCTATTGCCGTTGAGTCCATTCTGACTCATAGTGACCCTATATGACAGAGTAGAACTGCCCCATAGGATTTCCAAAGAGTGGCTGGTGGATTTGAACTGCCATGCTTTTGGTTAGCAGCTGAATTCTTAACCACTGTGCCATCAGGGCTCCTCTTACTGCCTTAGTGTTCTCCAAGCAGTGAGGCCTTCCCCATCACTTGAAGTATAAAATTGAACCACCCTTCTGCCCTCCTACACTCCAAGTCCTCTCTTCCTGATTTATTTGTTGCCATAGCACTTCCCAGTATTGACAAACTATATGTACAGTAAAACCTGCAAAAGCTGGAACCCATGTAAGGCGGAAACCTGTCAGAGAAGGAAAACTCAAATATTTTCCACTAATAGAGAGGGATGGAAAAGCGGTACGACTGCACCTCATCGACGGCGGAAAACTTGTGAGACCCAGAAAAACAAAGCAGTTCCATTGAGTTCTGGCTCTCACAGGTTTCACTGTATTTCTGTTTTCTATTTCTCTGAACAAACAGGCATAGCAAAACATAAACTACAGTATCAACTCTGTGATGGACAGGGCCCTTGTTTTGTCCCTGGCCGTGTCCCCAGTGCCCAGGACAGTAGCTGGTACCTGGTAGATGTTTACATGTTTGTTGGATGAATATATGAATGTTCTTTGGAAGATTAGTTAAAATCATAGTAGTTTACAATGCTGTCTTGTGTTTTATGGAATTTGGAATGCCTTGTGTTTGGAATGGGCAAAGTAAGATGTGACATATTTTCAGCAAGTGCTTGGTGAGCTCTGGTTTCCAGATGGATGGTGCAAGAATTGATACTTGTACCAGATTTCTGAGTTTTGAAGCCATTGAGATGAAAAGCAGAGACTTGTACAACAAACAGAATTCCCTTTCCTAATGACCCTCGGAGTAGATAAGAAGTAGATGGGGGAAATAGTTGTCTGTTGCTACGAAGGGCCGGGCTCCCTGTTGCAGCCTGATCTCTAAAAGGAGAGATTTAGACAGTTTATAAATATTGGCAAACAGTGCCCAGCTCCTTCTGATAATGGACTCTCTCACGGTCAGAAATAATCCAAGGGCATTGCTCATGGTGAGTGTTCATGGGTTAAAGCAGTGTCCAGCATAGGTGGTGTTACCCACGCAGAGACTTCACCTCAGGGGTCTTAAATCTGCCCTTGTCTGTGCAGTGGTCTTTGTCGGGTCAGACACCAAAGTCGCTATCAATGATGGCAGCTCAGAAGGAGCAGAACTTCCTCATCAGGAAGCCTAGAATCACAAACAGGATTTTCTCAATTAAAGCTGGGACAGCTTGACTTATTTTTAAGTATATTATGCAATATTAACATATGCAGGAAGTTGTAAACATAATGTAACGAGCTAGTATGTTCTGCCGACAATTTGACACATCTTGTGCGGTTGACTATCCCGCAACCAGTGGGTCTACTCATAGGTGTGCTTCTAGAGCAGTGTTTGGCAGCCTTTTTCTATAAAAGGCCCGTTAGCACATATTTTAGGTTTTGCAGACCATACGATCTCTGTTGCATCCACTCAGCCCTGCACTAATCTCAGCCAGTGGAGCGTAGAAGCCATAGAAGTGCATACGTGGGCATGTCTCTGTCCCAATAAAACACTGCTAATGGACACTGAAACTTGAATTTCACATAATTTTCTCATGTCATGAGATAGTATTTAAAAAGAAAATTCTTAGCATCTCTTGTTATTGTTGAGTGCGGTCAAGTTGATCCCGACTCATAGCGACCCCATGTGACAGAGTAGACCTGCCCCATTAGGTTTTCTTGGCTGTAATCTTTTATGTTAGCAGCCCGGCACCTAACCATTGCACCACCATTCTTAGCGCGTGGGCTGTACAAACACAGGCACAGGCTGACTCTGGCCCAGGGTCCCCAGTTTGCTGACCCCTGCTGTGGGGCAGTGCTGCCCAGTAGAGCTGGCTGTGATGAAGGAAATATTCTGTATCTGCATCCTCCCGTTCAGGAGTGGCTATTGAGCACTTGTAATGTGGTTAGCGTGACTGAGGACTGAATTTCTAATATTTCATTTTAGCATGAGTTTTAATTTAAATTAAAACCATGCATTTCTTGTTGTTGTTAGGTGCCGTCAAGTCAGTTCTGACTCATAGCGACCCCATGTGACAGAGTAGAACTACCCCATAGGGTTTTCTAGGCCGTAATCTTTATGGGAGCATATAGCCAAGTCTCCCGTGGAGCTGCAAGGTAGGTTCGAACTGCCAGCCTCTCAGTTAGCAGCCAAATGCTTTACCGTTGTGCCACAGGGCTCCTTCCCATGTGGCTTAAAAAGAAACAATAATCAAACCCACTGCCATCGAGTCGATTCCAACTCATAGCGACCCTATAGGACAGAATAGAACTGCCCCATAGGGTTTCCAAGGAGCGACTGGTGGATTCGAACTGCCGACCTTTTGGTTAGCAGCTGAGCTCTCTAACCAGGGCTTCCCCATGTGGCTAGTGGCTACTATGTTGGGCAGCTCAGCTCTAGAGAAACATCTGGGCATGTGCAGCATCGGGCATGGACAGAAGTGTTCACTGGAGAACTGTTCATTACAGCAAAACCTAGAATTCTGGTATATTCACCCAGTGGGAGATAATCGTAGTAATTAACAGTGAATATTCCCTGCGTACTCTATTTATGCCAGGCAGTATTTTAAGCACGTTGCATGTATTAACTCATTGAAGTCTCATGACTGTGTAGTAGTATAAATGAATAAACTAGCTACATACATCAACAAGGGTGAATGAATCTTAGATACACAAGGTTGAGTGAAAAAGCACGTCACAAACATTCCATACCATATGATAACCAGTTTTTAAAGTTTGAAAACAAGCAAAATGGAACAGCAGATTGTTTAGGAATATGCACATATTAGGTAAAACCATTAAGAAAAGCAAAGAAACTCATATTTCCTTTGCAGGGAGAGAAGAGTGCAACCTGTAAGACAGGCGTGTCTGGTGAGAGGCAGCTGGGCTCTTTTCTTTTCAGGTTTTCTGCTCCTGTGGAGCAGTCATGGGGCGTGGTTAGCAGAATCTTAAGTTGACTTGGTAGAACTGTGTTTTCTTATAATAAAAGCCATGATCACTATAGCATCGCTACAGTTAGTATTTAGTCTGGTTTCAGTTCACATTTAAGCAAATGTTCTATTAGATGAGGGATTGTATTTGTTGCCATGGTTGGGTACTTCAGATTAGAAAAACACTGTTATTTATTCAGTTCCCAAGAACAGAGGATTAGAACCTTTTGCTCCAATTTTTTGTTTCATTAAACTTAATGATGAGATGAATGTTACCAGAATCTGAGAGAATTTAGCATGAAAATGAAAATCCCCAAACTGTAAAATAACAAATAGGTGTACTTATTAACTGTCATTAAAAAATCCTGATGACACCTGAGGATGTTATGAAACATTATAGCGGTATTTCATCCACGAGTTACTATAATTTCAAAGGTGTGCAGTAGTTCATGGTAAGTTGGATTCAGAGTGGCATTTGGTTACTGGGGATGCATTTTTGCTGTAGCAATTCTAGCAGCTGGCTACTGAGCTCTTTGTTAAATTATAGGTCAAACTTTTCTATGTAATATTTGCAACTTTAATTTTTTTTTTCCTTATTGTTCCGTCTTCATTCTTTCCTGTATTACTGACATGGGCTTATCTTTTCTCCCTTTAGAGAGTTTTGAGGTGACAGTCACCAAAGAAGGTGATAAAGGGTTCTTTTATCCCTCTTACGAACATTAACCCACTAACTTTGTTTATAAAATTGGGAATCAGCCCTTGAACAGAAGATACTGTCATGTTCTTTTGCCCCTATTTACTCTCCTATTTGTTTCTATTTTTTAAATATATTGATGGAAATTATATGTAACCAAACCCTTGGTTAGAAATATCTGGAAATCAGACATCCATTTGAACTATATGGATAGTACTGTACATTAAAAAAAAAAAAAGTTTTAAGAGAGTTTTTGCTTCTTAACAATTTCCATTAGTTTGGAATTTTGGAGGAGTTAAGTCATATTTCTATATGAAATACATTTTGTGAAGTTTTATATGTACATCAAAACATTGATCTCCACGGACAAGAATGGAAAAATAGATTTTCACTCCTAATGAGGCTTGTAAGCCCACTGAGATGTAGTTCAGTTCTGAGGCAGGTTTCTTTTTCAGGTTCGATAGGACAGTCTGAAGGAAAGTCTAGCAAACCCCTCCCCACCGTAGAAACTGTCTTAACAGTAGATGCTAGCTGTTGAAATGGATGCCTGAAGAGTTGGTATTTCTACCTTTCTCATTTAGTAGTTTGTTTTGATTCCCTAATTTTAGCCAGGCTCATTGCACAGGAAGACTTGCTTCTTCTAATTTTTTTTTTTTTTTTGACAGAATTTCTGTAATTATGGTGCTGAACCTGTATCTCACGTTTTTTCCTCTCTTGACACTTAACTGTGTTTTAGCCTTCTCTGTAGTACAAACCAAAACCGCTGCCTGGCTCTCCCCAGTAGCGGGGCAGTCTCTGGATGTTAACAAGGCCTTGGCTGTTTGCTAATGAGATCGACTTTGACCCTAGAGCCATCCTAAGTACTCCTGTGAAATGCCTGTCTATATTTTCTCTTTCTCTCTTTTGTACTCCTGCATGAATGGATGCAAAGTAAACGAGTTGCTTTGAAAGTCAGAACTTGCTTCTTTTTACTAAAGCCCCCAGAACTTACCCATGTTAAAGCACAGTGCCCTTGCTTTGTCCACAGCCCTCCAAACCCCTGGCTGCCGAATTTGTTTTGTTTTCTCTGGGGGTGGGGGGCAGGTGCAGAAGGCCTATGTGGCGGAAATTTTAACCCCTTCTGCTTTGACTCCCCAGGTGAGATTTGTGGATTTAAAATTCATGGGCAGAATGTCCCCTTTGATGCAGTGGTAGTGGATAAAACCACCGGTGAGGGACTGATTCGCTCCAAAGAGAAACTGGACTGTGAGCTGCAGAAAGACTACACGTTCACAATCCAGGCCTATGACTGTGGGAAGGGGCCCGACGGCACCAGCGTGAAGAAGTCTCATAAGTAAGTAAGCTGGACAAAGAGTGGAAATAACTTACCAAGGGAATTTGTGTGCGTGTAAAGAAAATAGCAGCGACCTAGCTCATGTCCCCAAGACTTACTGTGTTTTTGAAAGATGAGGCAGAAGTTGGTTCTCAGTTGTCTCAGTTGTCCACAGTTAGATGGTAAGCTGTTTGAGGGTAGGAATCTTGTCTGTTTTGTTTACCCCTGTATACAGCTCCTAGCAAGAGTCTGGCACATTTTAGGTGTTGAATTAATAATAAATGAATAATTTTACCCACTAAGTATTCTATCGAAGAAGCTAAGACCCTATACTGAAAATTGAAAAAGCCCACTTTTCCCCAAAGAAGATATTTTGTTGTTACATGTATCTTTCGCTGTAAATTCTAAGGGCATGATGTTCATTAGTGCCATTGGTAGTGAACTGGCCTTTGTACCCCATCCTGGGTGCGTTCATATGCTTCCTGCCAGGTGAGAATGACTGGTGGATGGAAATGATGCGGGACAAGACAATAGATTTAGAATTCTAGTCTTTTTCTCCACTACTTAGTAGCCTCTTGACATTAGGCAAATAACATATTTGGTTGAGTCTCGGTTTCTACACCTACTAAGAAAGGGAGTATTTGGGTGAGATGATGTCGTGTAACCCGTGTTGTAAGATCACACCTAGTGGCGCTGGTCTGTGGAGGCTCTTAGTAGAAGTACAGCTGGAGTGTGTCAGTGAATCACGGCTCATCTTTTCCCATAGTGTGATATTATTGTTTTTCCCTGAAAAGTGTCTTGTTTTGATCAGAGACCTTTCTGATTCAGAAACGATCCCTGATTAGTAGTCCTTGAAACCTGTCAGTGTTCTTTATTTGCAGTCTATTCTGATGAGGGATGTGAGTGTTCATGTAAAGGGGTGTAGCAGGGGTAACGATCGCCCGGGGGCAGTCTCTTAAATTGCGCCCCCTCCCCCAATTTCAAGATGGAATAGACGTTGATAGAGGCTGTGCGTCAGAATTGCCTCCCCCTTCTTGTCTGGCTGCCTCAGTCAGGTGCCTTTCATATTTGTGGTGCCTTGAAATGTCATTCTGTGCCTTGTCTGGCGTCCCCTTGGATTTGTACCTGGGAGTAAGTCCCCTCCACCCCCACCCCCACGCCTCTGTTCGTGTGTGGTCACTTCAGTGTATGATCATTGTCTAAGAGTCTGGAAAGCAAGTCAACATCACCAGTGTAAACTAGTCCTTCTTCTCAGTCCCAGGCTGTCTTATTACTACTAGATTAAAAGGTCAGGCGCAGACCAGTTGGTCCTTTTGGTAGAGGAAGAGATCTTGTCAATATGATGACACCTGTCTAAAGAGTCAGTGTGGAAAATAAGTGTGCAACCCAAGAGGAAGAGCCTGGGTGGCAGCAAGGGCTTGGCCTCCCCAAAGTCCTTTATTTATTGAATCAGTAATCGGTGACAACCCAATAATGGGTCTACTGGTCTCATCCTTTTCCTTAAAGTAGGACAGAACTTGTGTTAACTCTCATAATCAAGCCTTCCCATGCTCTTTTTCTTACCCATTCTTCCTTTGGTTCTGTTTTCTGGATTTTGCAACAAATTATCCATTTTTAACTTTATGATTAGAGAGGAGACAGATGTCTGATACAGTTTATCTCCTTTTTGCATGCTGTGATACAGTATCCCATATATTGCTAAAGAAAATCCCTAGTCTCTTTTATATTTGTGATTTTTTTTTTTTTTTTTTTTAACCAGCTGGCTTATTCTTAGGACCTGGAAGAATCAACCCAAATCTCTGTTTTTGCATTTTGTTTTTACCCTGAATTAAAAACAATGAACAATTTGTCACTATGATCGTATGAATTTCATGAAACAGGGTATCTGCAGAAGAAAATTTTAAAATGGGGCAGAATTGGTATCCTTCGGGTAGAGAAAAATAACCCCCCCCCCCTTTTTTTTCTATCAGAGCAACTGTCCACATTCAGGTGAACGATGTGAATGAGTATGCACCTGTATTCAAGGAGAAGTCCTACAAGGCGACAGTCGTCGAGGGGAAGCAGTACGACAGCATCCTGAGAGTGGAGGCGGTGGACGCAGACTGCTCCCCGCAGTTCAGCCAGATTTGCAGCTATGAAGTTGTCACCCCGGATGTCCCATTTACTGTTGACAAAGATGGTAAGAACAGAGGAGCACGTTTTCCCCAGTGAGGGCTTGCGATCTTGGGGCTGACACAGTCTCTTCCAAGACCATGTTTATATACAGGGCACTTTGTGAGTGCTCCAGTGAGCCCCACAAATTGGAGACCTGACTTAGTGTGTGTTTGTTTCACATTTAGGTTTTCACTCTGCCCCCGACAGCCTCTTTTCTGGCACCTTGAAAGTCTTGTGTTCTCTTTTGAAGCTCTCCTTTTTCCTTTCCCACCAAAATCAAATGAATATCCCCCACTTGACATGCTTTTATTATTTTATCCTCTCGTCTTTCAGTCACCATGCATGTGAATAAGAGTGACCTTTAGATCCTTGATTTTCTCTATTCTCCATTAGATTTGCTTTTTCTGTCTCATCTTGAAAATGAGGGTTTGTACCTTACTACCACTGCTAGGCCCACCTCTGTCCTTAGTAATTGAACAGAATCAACTCCTTGTAGAGCTTAACTTCTTTATAAGGGTATAGCTTCTTAATGATCACACGGAGTCTCTGTTAATAAAGTCCAGGGTCTTTGTTGGAATTATGAACATTGCCTGTATTTTGTAAGAAGTCAGGCATCTGCACTGTTATTTGAAAAGCAGGCTTCTCCTCTAAGTGGGTGGGGTAGGAAATCTCTCGTTTTCTTTAACAAAGTAAATCTTTTAGCAAGAATATTTAGGGCAGCTTGTGTTGTATTTAATGTTTGAATAAAAGAATTATTTTGCCTGTTTATATTATATATAAAGTATTAAATCTTAAAGTAAATGTAAAACCCAATGTAAAACTGTAAGAATAAATGGAGGTTGAATTGTGTGGACTCATTTCTTCTGTTTAAACAGTTCTTTTGTTGTTGAGAATATACACAGCAGAACATACACCAATTCAGCAGTTTCTACGTGTACCATTTTAGTGACATTGATTACATTCTTCAAGTTGTGCAGCCATTCCCACCTACCTTTTTTGAGTTGTCCTTCCCTTTTAACATAAATTTACTGCTCCATAAGATTCCTATCTAATCGTTCAGATTGCTGTTATCAGTTTGATTCCCTATAGATAGCTCTTAAAAGAGCATAATGCTCAAGGAAAACATTTTTTACTAGTTGAGCTAAACTGTTGTTTGGTTTTAAGAAGACTTGAGGGGATATTTTTGGTTTAAAGTTTAAAGATTATCTCAGGGCAGTAGTTTCAGGGGTTCATCCAACCTTCACTGGGTTCCATGAGAATATGAAATTCTGTTCTACATTTTCCCCCTTTTGATCAGGATTCTTCTGTAGACTCTCGGATCAAAATGTTCAGTAATGGTAGCCAGGCACCATCCAGTCTTTCTGGTCTCATGGCAAAGGAGGCAGTTGTTCACGAAGGCATGTTTAAATGATTGATTTAGTGTGTGTTCAAAGCACATATAAACCAGGTTGAGTGTTAATTATTTCAAGTGTAAGTTTATTTCTGTGTCTGTCAGTATTTACAGGCTTACAGCACATGCATTTTATGTTTCAGCGTAAGACAATGAATGTAAAAAACAGTGTGAGTTTTTGTCTTAACTGTTGTTTCTTTCCTCGGTAAGGTTATATAAAAAACACAGAGAAGTTGAACTATGGGAAAGAACATCAGTACAAGCTGACAGTCACTGCCTATGATTGTGGGAAGAAAAGAGCCACAGAAGATGTTTTGGTAAAGATCAGCATCAAGCCCACCTGCACCCCTGGGTGGCAAGGTGAGCTACATCCTTTTTCCTGCTGTTATACCTATTCTTAAAATTTATAAGCCATAGAGATCTACAATGTGAGTTTTCCTTCTTTTCCTCCACCCCAATTTGTGGACGATACAGGATGGAACAATAGGATTGAATATGAACCTGGCACTGGTGCTTTGTCCCTCTTCCCCAACGTCCATCTGGAGACATGTGACGAGCCTGTCGCCTCTGTCCAGGCCACGGTGGAGCTCGAGACCAGCCACATAGGCAAAGGCTGTGACCGCGACACCTATTCTGAGAAGTCCCTTCACCGGCTCTGTGGTAAGGAGACCCCGTGATGCTGAGTCGGTCAGTCTTTGGTGCAGGCAAGAGAGACCTTTTCAAACAGATAGGTCGGCTGACGAGCTGACCCACTGTCTGTGTGTCTTGGTGTTCATCATGATAAACTGTAACAGAGGCTCTTTGCTGTCGCCGCCTTGCTGGCGAATTTTCATACTGGATGGGATTCAGGGGTACATAAACTCCTAAAATTGTTCAAAATGTTATGTGTAAGTATATTTTTCTGGGGAGAAGGCCATAGCTTTTATCATATTCTTATGGAGGTCTATAAATGGTTAAGTGCTTGGCTGCTAACTGAAAGGTCAGCAGTTCGAACCCACCTGCAGCTCTGCTGGAGAAGAGACCTGGCAGTATGTGCTCATAAAGATTACAGCCTAGGAAACCCTATGGGGCAGTTCTACTCTGTCACATGGAGTTGCTATGAGTTGGAATTGACTCAACAGCACACAGCAACAACAACAACACGACCCACACCTCCTCCTCCAGGATTGAGAACCACTGATTTGAAGAAAGCAAGTGTTTCTCCAAGGGTACACTGGGAATCTTCAAAATAGGGATTGTATAAGTGAGTTTTAGGAGACTGAAATGAGATGTTTACTTAAGGATTTATTTTAAAAAATAGGTAATGGCAATAGCTTTTGGCAAACATGAAGTAGAAAAACAAAACTACATCTAATACCTACATCTAATTTATAGTCTCAACTGAATATATCACCAATGTTGTGTGGGGAAGTGGAGAGACAGAGTTCTTGTGATTTTGACCCAAAAGACTCTCTCCCTTCAGCTGTGGACGTTTTCTGGTCTGTCCGAATGAGGGAGAGGTGAAGTGTGGGCTTCCCTTGTGGAAGAGGCAGGGGAAGAGTATTTTCCTTGCTTGCTGATAAAATACCAGCAACTTCAGTGACCTCTGGATAAGCCAAAGGGTCTTTTGTGTTTCAAGAGCTGCTCGGAAACAACTCTGCAGGGAGCATTTTCTCATCCTGATCTGTGTTATAAGGAGCCCTGGTGGTACAGTGGTTCAGCACTCAACCGCTAACCAAAAGGGTGGGTGATTTGAACCCACCAGCCACTCCTCAGGAAGAAGATGTGGCAGTCTGCTTCCGTAAAGATTTATAGCATCAGAAACCCTACGGGGCAGTTATACTCTGTACTATAGGGTTGCTGTAGTTGGAATCAACTCTGTAGCAATGTTTGTTTTTTATCTGTCTTATCACTAGTCTGGTAACAGATTGAGGCAACTGCTTCTCTAATATAATAGAAATTTGTTACAGGGAAAATAAGCAAGGGATAAAAAGTTTACACTTTGTTGGCCCATCCTGATAATGAATATACTAGGGTGTTTTGTGGTTCTCAATCTAAATATTTATAATAATCATGTACCCAAATAAATGTAAGTTTGGAAGTCTGGAATATTTTCTGATTTAAACTATGCATGTAATTATAATGTATTAAATTAATTTTCTTCTCATAATACTATTACTTTTTATGGTACTAAATGAGCATTCTCTCAGAACAGTTTGAAGTTAGGAAGAAGATAAAAAATTTAATATCTCAGTGCTCACTGTATGCTTGGTACTTCCACATGTATTATTTAATCTTCCCAACAGGCCCAAGTAGTTGGTATTGAACGCGTTCTTACAGAGAAATTGATTGAGACTAAGAAGGTTAAGTAGCTTGCCCAAGGTCAGACTTTTAGAAGTAGCAGAACTGGGATTCGAACTGAGGTTGTGTGTTACTTGCAAGAGCAGACTGGTCCAACCAAGTCATGCTTTTCCCTAAGAATGAAGAAGCCAAGGACCAGTGACTGAGAGAGTTTGCAGCATCGTTTTCTGTGGAAAAATTTAAAAAGAAAATGTGAGCTTGGCAATACATAACAAAAGTGGTAAAAAAATTTTTTCATGCTCTTTGACTTAACAATTCCATATCTAGGAATTTATCCTAAGAGAATAATCATGGAGACACACAAAGGTATTCATCAGGGCGAGGCTTGTAATGGGGAAAAACTATGAACATCCTCAGTGTCCACTAAGGAGATTGATTAAATAAATTATGGTCTGTCTGTACAATGAAATACTATTCAGACAATTCAAATTATGCTAGGAATCCCTGGGTGGTGTGAACAGTTAATACACTTGGCTGCTAACTGTAAGGCTGGAGGTTCGAGTCCACCCAGAGGCACTGCAGAAGAAAGGCCTGGTGTGATCTACATCTAAAAAATCAGCCATTGAAAACCCTGTGGAGCACAGTTCTACTCTGACACACGTGGGGTCACTATGAGTCGAAATCAACTCAAGGGTAACTAGTTTGGTTTTTTGGTTATAGAAGACTATTATTGGGATAATATACGTTATCTTTATCATGACTCCACTTTTGTAAATAAATACACTGTATATATTCATAGAGACTATATACAGCCTTGGAAACCCTATGGGGCAGTTCTATAGGATCGCGATGAGTCAGAATCAACTCGATGGCAATGGGTTCATAGAGAAAGGACTAGATGAGTGCATACCTAATTGTTAATATTAGATGCATTTGGTTGGTAATATTTTTTTTCTTTCTTTTTTTTTAACTATCCACAGTGATTGTATTTTTTTTTGGTAATAAAAACTGTGTTTTGAGGACAAGTAAGCTGAACACAGCACGTTGTGTAACCGTAAGATAAGGCCACTACTTTAGAGTAGTGTAGGTTCTTCACGCAGTTTGTTATTAAGCATTGTTTTGTCTCAGGTGCTGCTTCCGGCACTGCCGAGCTGCTGCCCTCCCCAAGCAGCTCCCTCAACTGGACCGCCGGCCTCCCCACTGACAACGGCCACGACAGCGACCAGGTCTTTGAGTTCAATGGCACGCAGGCAGTGAGGATCCCAGATGGCGTCGTTTCAGTCAACCCGAAAGAGCCTTTTATGATTTCTGTGTGGATGCGGCATGGGCCTTTTGGCAGGAAGAAAGAGACCATTCTTTGCAGTTCAGACAAAACAGGTCGATAAATTTCACTGAGTGATGTCATCCTTTTTCATGCCCTAAACCTGTGCTGTCCAGTGCAGTGACTTTCTTCCCCCTATTGCTCCACACAGGCTGGTTGTTGGTGGACGTTACTCTCCATGTTGTGCTGGGGCCCTTGTCCTTACAGACAGCTTTGGTATTTGTTAGTTTTACTCTGTGGGCTGTCAGTGATGATCATGTACCTAGCTTCCTAGTAAAACCCAAGTGTATTTGCCTCCAAACCCTGCCTTGGTCCAGCTGGAGAGTTGATGTATGTAGATAAAATCATGTCTTCAAAACCCATTAAAGAGATAGCTTTTATTTCTCCTTTGGGTCTTAAGTTGGCCACTTACCAGTAGGCACTGTCTTTGCAGATATGAACCGGCACCATTATTCACTCTATGTCCATGGTTGCCGGCTCATTTTCCTCCTCCGTCAGGATCCTTCAGAGGAGAAGAAATACAAGCCTGCAGAATTCCACTGGAAGTTGAATCAGGTGAGTGAGTGGAAAACTCACTAATTATGATCTTTTGAAGGAGATTGTTAACTAGGTACTGCAGCCTGCAAGGTGACTGACTAGCTGTTTATACTCCATGTGTTTGTGACTTCATGATTTGTGTGTCTCTGGGTAATGTTGTTGTTAGGTGCCATTGAATCGGTTTCAACTCAGCGACCCTGTGTACAATAGAATGAAACACTGTCTAGTCCTGGGCCATCCTTACAGTCATTGCTATGTTTGAGCCCATTGTTGCAGCCACGGTGTCAGTCCGTCTCATTGAGGGTCTTCCTCTCTTTCGCTGACCCTCTGCTTTACCAAGCATGATGTCCTTTTCCAGGGACTGGTTGCTCCTGATAACACATCCAAAGTACATGAGACAAAGTCTCATCATTCTTGCTTCTAAGGAGCATTCTGGCTCTACTTCTCCCAAGGCAGATTTGTTCGTTTTTCTGGTAGTGCATGGTTTATTCAATATTCTTTGCCAACACCATAATTCAAAGGCATCAATACCGTAATTCAAAGGCATCAATTCTTCTTCGATCTTCTTTATTCATTCTGGGTAATAGGATAGCAAATTAAATCCCTTTAATCCCTTTCCACTGAAAGCGTAAATTCCCTTGGCATATGTGTATTTTAGACATAAAGTACATATTTTAAATTTAAAACACTGTTATAATTTATTGAAATAAGCATATTAGCTTAAAAATTGGAGTTGAGACATTTGTATTTATTTATTAATTATTTAAGGCCTTGACTCCCAAATTGTGTGCCAAGATGCCCTGGGCACCTCAGCAATTCAGGGCCATCACAGGATTTTGTAAATTTTCAAGGAGCCAGCAATCAGATACTACACAAACTACTAGATTGAGGTGGTTCAGACTTTTGTCATTAGAACACTCTATATTCCTTTTGGTAAACGTCATATCTTTACAAAGCTGGTTTTCCCACAGTTGCTATGATTGAAAACAAGTATCACATCAAAAATTGCTGTGTTAGAGGAAATGAGGCACCATATAGGGGTGCTATAAAGTGAGAAAGCCTTCTCATTAAAATTAGGATAAATCATTTAGCTTGATTTAGGGTTGGGGGCAAGAAGGGGGCCTTTGGCCTTAGCTTAATTTTATTCGGCTCATGGGCTTGGTGAAGAAGTACAGCCAGAATGCTCATTAGAAGTGAGGATGGCGAGACTTTGTCTCACATACTTTGGACATGTTATCAGGAGGGACCAGTCCCTGGAGAAGAACATCATGCTTGGTAGAGGGTCAGCAAAAGAGAGGAAGACCCTCAATGAGATGGATTGACACAGTGGCTGCAACAGTGGTCTCAAGCATAACGATTGTGAGGATGGTACAGGACTGGGCAGTGTTTTGTTCTGTTGTACATAGGGTGGCTATGAGTGAGAACCGACTTGATGACACCTAACAACAGCATGAAATCAGTAGCCAGGTGCTGACATCCTGCTGTATATGCCTGTGGTTGCTAACATATAACACTGCCTGAAACAGTTAGAAGATAAGGTAAAAATGTAGCAGCATAAATGAGAAAGAAAAAAACTATGTGATAGAGGAAAGATAAAGTGAGTGTCTAGTTGGTAGCATTCATCTCTTACTAATGCAGTTTTTATTTGCATAAATAATTTCTTTCTCAGAAAGTTTGCCGTATTTTTTTTTTCCTAAGAAACCAAATAAAAGTATAGGTCAGAGAAAAATTTTTTGCAGCATAGGTGGACATTTTAGGTACAGTTCTATTGTAAAACACGTTGCTGTCGAGTCACCTTTGGCTCATAGTAACCCTATTATAGGACAAGTAGAACCACCCCATAGGGTTTCCAAGGAGCGGCTGGTGAATTCGAACTCCTGACCTTTTGGTTAGCAGCCAAGCTCTTAATCACTGCACCACCAGGGCTCCTAGTTCTATTCTAATAACCATAATCTATATTTAGTTTCTGACAGCTCTTCTGATTGCATTTTTAAAAAAATTTATTATGGAAAATTTCAGATATATATAAAAGTAGACAGAGATTAGTGTTAAAAAAATCTCCATGTACCCCTCACTCAGCTTTAACAATTAACAACTCCTGTCAATCACATTTTGTCTTTACTTCTACCCACTTAACTCCCCTGTTAATAATTTTCAAGAAAATCCCAGATATTATAACTTTTATTTGTACATATATCATTATGTATTTCTAAAAGATAATAATCACAGTACCCTTTTCAAATCTTAAAAAATTAACAGTAATTCCTTGGTATCAAATATCCAGTCAGTGTTCAAATTTTAAATTATGTCATAAATGTTTTTGTATTTACAATTTGTTTGTTTGAATCAGGATCCACATAAGGGCCGCCATTGTGATTGCTTGGTAAGCCTTTCGAGTTTGTTTTTTTTTTTTAAATCTATAGATTTCCTCTTTCTCTTCTTTGCTCCTTGCAATTTACTTGGTGATGAAGTCAGGCTTTTTGTCCTGTAGAGCTTCCCATAGTCTGGTTGCACCCCTGTGGTGTTATTTGACATGATCCTCTGTCCTCTTTACATCCTATAAAATGGTAGTGGGATCTAAAGCCTTGATCAGATTCAGATTTGTGTGTTTGTTTTGGCAAGACTACTTCGAGGATGATGGTTTTATTCTTCCATCAGGAGGCACACGTCTGGTTGTTTCTCTTTAGTGACTTAAGCAGCCTTGATGCTCAGTGCCACCAGCTCCTGTGGCAGTGTCACTGGTCATTCTGGTTGTACGAAGTGTGTTCTCAGGAAGGACGTGTGGGAATAATCATTCTTGAGTTCCTACATGCTTTTAATAGTAAGCCTTTATACTGAAGGCCAGTTTGGCTGGATATAAAATCTCGGGTTCATATTTAAGATTTACAAGAAAGGAGAATAATTTCTCCGTTGTTTACTGACATAAAATGTTGCTATTGAAGTCTGACAATAGCCTAAGTTTCTTTCCTTTTTAAGAGAGTTGGCCTGTTTGTTTGGATGCCCAAAGGAATTTTTTTTCTCCCTTCTTTAGAGTCAATTTTATTAATGTCTTACTTGTTCTGAGTCTGTTTTCCCAGACATGCTGTATGTTTTTTCAGTATGTAGTTTCAAACATTGTGATATTTCAGGGAAGTTTTTATTATTATTAATATTATTGTTAAAATTTTTAGTATTCTATTCCATTGGTTGGGTTTTCTTCTTTGGGGGTTCGTTTCATCTTACGTTGGATGTTCTTTACCTGTTTTCTGTATCTGTCATTTTTCTATTTAATTCTTTTCCTGGGTTCTGTCACTTCATTTCTGAATTGCTGTAATTATGAACTGTGTGTGTGTGTGTTTTTTTTAACATTTTATTGTAGTTTGGATGAAAGTTTTATGAGCTATGTTCTTTTATACTTTGTATCATTTTCTTAATGTCTTTTAGCTTATTTTGAAATACTAGATTATGGTTTTCAATTCTTTCATAGGCATAACTTTCAGGCATGCTTCCGTTGTCTTCCACAGTGGTTAAGAGCTCAGGCTGCTAACCAAAAGGTCGGGAGTTCGAATCCACCAGGTGCTCCTTGGAAACCCTGTGGGGCAGTTCTACTCTGTCCTGTAGGGTCGCTATGAGTAGGAATTGACTCGATGGCAAGGAGTTTTTTTGTCCCATTATCTTCAGGGATCTTATTTTCCTTATAAAAAGTTTGTATGGGATTTAATTGTGATCCTTCCCCCCCCGCCCCATTTTTTCATTAAATTAATTTACCTTATGCTTTCAAAAGAGAGAGATGGGTCTCTGCTTTCTGGTTCTTGAGCTCCCCTTTCTGTTATTTTCATGAAGTGTAAAAAAAAAATGGCTTGACATCCTCCAGCAGCTCCTGGGTCTGCTCTGCTCTTTTCTCTAGACCTTTTGCTTGTCCCTAGTCCCCATGTCCTCCTTTGTTTGATTCTATTTTTAGCATTTTCTCCTCTGTGGGCCTTTGTCTTGGAAGGAAGCTTTGCCTAGGTAGCTTTGAGGGTTCAGAGGATCCAGACTGCTTCAGTCCCTTCAAATTTTATGACAAACCCTTAGTGTTGTTGTTGGGTGCAGTCAAGTAGATTCCAACTCATAGCGACCCTATTTGACAGACTAAAACTGCCCCATAGGGTTTTCTGGTTATAATCTTTATGAAAGCAGATCGCCAAGTCTTTCTCCCACAGAGCCGCTGGGTAGATTCAAACTGCCAGCCTTCTGGTTAGCAGCTGAGTGCTTAACTATTGTGCCACCAGGGCTCCTTAATTAAAAAAAAAACACAAACCAAACCCGTTGCCATTGAGTCTATTCTGGCTCATAGCAACCCTATAGAACAGAGTAGAACTACCCTATAGAGTTTCCAAGGCTGTAATATTTATGGAAGCAGACTGCTACATCTTTCTTTTGTGGAGCAACTTGTGGGTTCGAACTGCTGACCTTTCAGTTAGCAGCCGAGCGCTTAACCACCGCACCACTAGGGCTCCTTTGGCTTCTTAGTACTCACCCATAAATCAATCCCTTCCAGCTTCAGCTGGTGCCTTAAATTGGTCTGGCATTTTCCAGTGGGTACCTGTGGCCTCCTTTGCTGTTCTCCACAGATCCACTAGAGGCCTTCTTGTTTTTCTCTACCTTCTCCACACAGATGCTAACACACATGGGTCATGGAGCTCTCCTGGTTTGTCCCTACCCACTCTCATTTCAGAGTTCATGGGGTTACTTTGTCGCTAAGTCTTGTAGATGCCTGTGGGTTTTAGTTTTGCTATCTAACCATCCTGTCTGTTTTTAGAGAAATTAGAAAGCTGAACTGATTCTACTGCTATCTTTTCTCAAAATATGCTTGTGAATTTTGACCACATACTTCTGGTATTTAAATACAGTATTACTTTGCTAATCTTGTAAAAACCTTCAATTCTTTAAAAACTGGGGGTGTAATGTAAATTGCTTTTGAAAGACCTTATATTACAGAGCTTGTTTTAAAGAGAAACTTAAGCTAAATCTGAGGTTTTATCTGTCTTAAAAGTGAATTCGTGTGCAGTTTGTTTATTTAGAAATATTTTATTAATATGGGAATTATTCCTTAGAGGTTTGAATTTTTTCTCTAATAAAATGATCAGGAGCTGCTGCTTTTCTTTTGTGGGTATTCATTTAATAATTTCTTCTTTGTTTTGATGTACGTGATCTGTTCAAGTTCTCTATTTCTCATTGGTTCAGTTCTTTGGAATTTAAATATAAACAGCAAGAAATATATTTTAAGCAATATATCGTTTTAGACATATGTTTAAATTCAGTCCCCCGAGACTGTGGCCCTTGACACCCTTCTAACTTGGAATTGAAGCCATTCCTGGAGATCACCTTTCAGTCAAATAATAGACAGGCCTGCAAAATAAACAGTCACACCCGTGAGAAAAGTGGTTCTTAGAATAATCATCTTTATAAAACCAAAAGGGCAGCATCTGTCCAAAATCAAAAATAAGAAGGCGGAGAGGGGCAGGAAAACTGGACAAATGGAAATAGGGAGCTCAGGGTGGTAATGGGGAGAGTGCTGACATATTGTGGGGATTGCAGCCAATGTCACAGAAGAATTAGTGTATAAACTTTAGAATGGGAAACTAATATGCTTTATAAACGTTCACCTAAAGCACAATTACATATATATATGTTTAAAAGAATTGCATCACACACTGTCTCTTTTTCTGCCTCTCTGTTCTTGAGCATCTGTCTCTTCCTCTAAATGCCAAATATCAGGAGATGTCAGAGCTGAAAGGGGCTTTAGAGACTGCAGACCAACCCCTTCTTTTAATAGCTCAGGAAATATTAGTGAGATGTTCTTTTGTGATAGGAAAGTAATTCCACTTACTTTGGCGTACCATCGGAGCTGTATGTTCATATTTACTTGGATCTTCAGCTTTGATTTGAGAAAAGATGCATGCACAACAGTGTGCCTTATTCTGAGATTCACGGTGCTTTTAATTTTCGAGAAGAGGAATGGTCAGTTGGCAGGCTAAGCTAGCCTGTTTATTAGTGGATGGATCTCCTGCCTGCAAAAAATAGGTAATTTTTTGGTGTCACGTTCTTGGCAGAAGAGAATTGGGCAGCTTCCTTTCTTGGGCCTCCATAATATGATGAATGAGCCGTGTGTCCCGGTTTGAAATGATTCTGTTGCCTTGGCCCTTTTAGGTGAGATGTGTTTGCACGATAGTTTGTTGTTAAAGTTTTTTAAATCTCTTAGTCCTTTCAAGAAGACAGCTGTCCATTATGGGTGACTTGTTTTTCATGTCCAACTGTACGAGTTTCTTTGTTATGTCTCTGGACGAGAGGGAAGGTTGACCTTTCACGCCCCTGACCCATCTCTTTGCCTCTCGTAGGTCTGCGATGAGGAATGGCACCACTACGTCCTCAATGTGGAATTCCCAAGTGTGACTCTCTACCTGGACGGCGTTTCTCATGAGCCTTTCTCTGTGATGGAGGATTACCCACTTCATCCATCCAAGATAGAGACTCAGCTCGTGGTTGGAGCTTGTTGGCAAGGTAACATTATCGACAACTCCCCTTCCCCCAGTGTCAGGAATTAAAACATGTCTTTGTACTATACTGGTGGAAACAGACTGTCACGAGGACCTCACATCCTTCTTCTTCCTTTCCTTTGTCTCTTCGTTCCTTGACCTGTGTGTAGCCTTTTTGGGAACACCATTGACACCATGGTCTAGTGTAGTTCTATTGATGAGCTCTCAGAAGGTGTGTCATAGGACTGAAATACACCCACACTTGTCCCAGGCACCTAGGAGGGAGCATTGCACAGAGGAAGCCTACAATTCGGGGAACTTTTATAAATTATTTATTGAAAAGTCTGCAAGGGCAAAGAGGCAACAGTCAAAAGACCATCTCTAAGGGACACAGAAATACAACTGTGCTTCAGACCTGGAGGACTTTTCCAGAGTGCTTAGAGCTTGTTAGCCTGGTGGGACCACTGTGAAGGATCTATTGACCTTTTGCAACTGCTGATAAGTTTGGAGGGGATTCCGTGGAAATCTCCAGTGCAAAGACTATGTTACCAAGCCCTTTGGAAAAATTAGTGCAAACTGGGGAAACCATTACCTTTCCCACATGTGAGTTGTAGAGTTTGTGAGAGGCATAGATTTCAGAAAAATACAAATGAGGATATGATGTCAGCCACCACTGCTCCAGTACTGTTTATTTTGTGCTTATTAAGTGGTAAAATGTAAAGCTGGCTATGTGTGGATTACATATGTTATCTTATTTAATCCTTTCAATAACTGTATGAGATAGGGTTGCTCTGAGATGGAATCAACTCGATGGCACACAACAACAACAGTAAGAGCTGGAAACTATTCTTATTCCAATTTTACAACTGAAGAAGCTGGGGCTCAGAGAAGTAAAGTAACCTATCACATGGCTGATGAGTCAGAGTTAGGATTTGAACCCATGAGGCCCATGCATTCAGGGCCCAGCTCTAAACCACCGCACCAGAATCTTTTAACCCTCTTTGTACCATGGATGACCCCTTGGGCATCTGAGGAAGCTGATGGACACCTTCTCAGAATAATTTCTTTTTAATCTGAACAGTAAAACACATGTTAAAGGCAATATAGTTATCAAAATACTAAAAGAATAAACTTGTGAAGTTGCAATATACAGGTAGTCCCCAACTTACAACAGGGGTCCATTCCGACGACTCTGTCATAAGTCGGTTCTGGTGTAAGTCGATTATCTTTTTTTTGAGTTTTCATTATTACTGCCTTTTATTATCAGTATCTTTATAAATCTGATCTTTGAACACCTGTGAGTAGACATATGTGAATGATAACATCAGCAAATTATGCGCTACATCATTGTGTGTACTACATATTAACTAATGATAAGATGTACAAAAAAACCCAAAAAACAACAGACGGTCGTTAAGTGCGGTTCATCGTAACTCTAATACGTCATAAGTCGGGGACTACCTGTGTGTACTGATTTATTAACAAAGAAACAGATTCAGCAGCAGGTCTGATAACTACCAAAATTTCCAAGTAATGAGCATAAACAATGTTTTGTGACATCTGTGAAAACTATAGCATGATGTGAAAACACCTGTGATTTCTATTGGTGTCAAAGTCACAGTTACTGCTAATACTACTGCGATCTGTTGCCTACATTTACAACCAAGGGAAATGCTAAATTTCAGAAGTCAGTGAAGATTAAACGTGTAATCTTCCCCATCCAAATCCACGGACCCGTCATCCTCTCCACGAGGTCACGGACCCACTCTTGCCCCCTCCCTGACTATATGGACTCTGTCTTGTGTCAAGTCAGGACATGGGCTTGCTAGTAGATTGTTTGAGTATTTTGTTCTCCTTGTGAAAGAAATCTACCTTGAGTTAGGTTAGAAATTTATGAAAGAGCCTAATTTCCAAGGCAGCAGCTTTGCTTATTTTAGGAGAATTAAATTTCATCATTTTCCTGAGGATTCTTTCAAATGAAAAGGAATAAGACAGTATTTTAGAGTGAACCTCTTCAGCAGATTCCCAGGTTTAAATCTTGTGGCAGTTGATCCACGAGAAAATGGAACCTGAGAGGGATAAACTCGTAGGGACCAAGGAATTTCTTAGTTGATGTTCTTAAATTTTCAGTTCAAATTTGCTTCCCAAATTAAACGGTAATCTCCGGATGATAAATAAATACATAAAAATGTAAGCCTAAAAGTTATTCTTACATTCTGAGAGCTTTGTTGCTTTGGTTAAAATAAAGCACCCTGCCTTCTTTGATTTCTGTACATGTCACAGTCTCTGCTGTCAAATAGCAGTGCCTTTTCATCTTCTAACCTTTTTCTACCTCGGCTCTCTTGACATCTCTTCCAGAAAAATCCACCTAAATTCCCAAACCAACCAAACAGAATTCTTTAAATTGTGGTTAACAGGGAGGAGAGCTTTCTTCCTCTCAGTGGAAACCACTTTTGTTGTTAATTTGTCAGAGTGCCTGGCCTAAAGGCGGCAGCTTCATTTCCGTGGGAGTGGAAAGTCATTTCTCGCAGTGTGTCAGAAAGGAATCATGCTGGGTGTGGAGGGCTGGGTGTGGAGGTGGGCGGTGAGCTGGGTGCTCCAGACACACCTGTGCACACCCTCGGCCTCTCCTGAAGTGTGTCCCCACTTCAGTGTAGCCCAGCAGGTGCAACAGCAGGTTGGGGGAGCCTGAGCTTTGGGGCCATGAGAGGAGAAGGACTTCTAAATCATGATCCAAAAAATGGAGGCGCCATCCTCAGCCATTGGGAATGTGCCTTTTCAATATGGCCTTGTACTTAGAACGCTGGCCAGGAGCTACAGCTGGTTAGAGTCCCCTCAGGCGAGTTCCTTAACCTCTGAGTCTCCCTCCCTCTTCAGAGAAAGTGGTTAAAAATGTCTGCTTTTCTTTGTCACTTAGAAGTTGACATGCAGACAGATGTGAACTTGTGCTGGGCTTTAAACAATATGTACTTTCGCATGTTTACCATATACCAGGCTTTTTTGGGCACCAACATGAGCTACCTACACTGTCTGCACAAACCGTCCTGCCTCCCGTGGGTCCAAGGTTTGGTGTTGGCTATAACGGGTACACGGCGGCAGCGGTCAGCTTTCTTGGAATATCCTCCTCAGTAGCACAGGTTGTGGTATCAGTGAATTCAGTGTATGGGCTTTTCTTTGTCTGATTTTGAATCTAACATATTGCAGCAAGTTCAGAGTAAAAAATGAAAGTAAGTTTGTGCAGGGCTATAGCTCTCAGCAAATAATTAACATTTACCCGGTGATGTTTCCATAGGCTTTATTACTTTCATGGTATTTAGGACAGGAGAGGGTAAAATTCCATCTCAGCCTGGTTTCCCTTTGGCCTTCATCCTAGGGTGAACTGACAAAGAAGTAACCTCCACACACACATAGCCCCTCGATGTGTTGTAGGTGAAAGACAAAGGACTAAAGGGACCTGGGGCTTATATACCAGAGGGGTCTGCATGCTGGGGTACATAGGAAAAGTGGAAGGGGAAGAAGAGGAAGGTACCCTTTGATGCAGTCTGGGATCACGGTATGTGATGGTCCTGTGGTTGTTGTCCCCAGCCTTGATGGCATCAAAGGAAGAACATTCCTTCTCCTTCTGGGATCTAAGATAAAGTGTTGCCAGCATGCAGTCATACGGAGTTAATCATATACCTTACCACTAAAGGCACTTGGGCAGGGAGGGGCTCCTTCCCCTAGGGTACATTCTTCCAGTACAATATCAGAGCGCTTAACCAGTGCGCCTCCGGGCCTCCTAAGTGTCCGGCAGACCGTGGGAGACGAAACTGCCTTCTGCTGCCTCTGCACCTATGTTTCGGCAAGGAGGATGTGGGAAGATAGAATAAAAGAAAACACAAAGATGCATGGGGATGGTAAATACACTTCTGGGAAAAGGTGATCAAGTACGAGTTTGCGTCTGGGTGGAGTCTGTCCCAAAGAGGGACAGGGGGCCTCATATTTCTGTTTGTATTTGGTAGCTTCTAAACCAGTTTTCCCGGTCCAGAGAAGACCCTAACCTCTTGGTGCTTTTCTGTTGTCTTTGTCTTGCTTTTCTACAGAGTATTCAGGACTTGAGAATGACAATGAGACTGAGCCAGTGGCTGTGACCTCTGCAGGTTGCTGGACTGCTTTCCCTACAGTTCACTCTTACGTTTCCTTTAAAGAGACATTGATTCATTCCACATTGTGCATGAAGTGGCCCAGGTTGCATTTTGACCCCCAACATCATTTGAGCTGCTGCCTTGTGTATCTCTGCATTGTGCTTCGCATTGCCCCACGGGATCCCGTCCACCCACTCGGATCCCAGCTACAGTGAGGGCACATTGCTTACTAATGCACTGCACTAATGGGATTTTTTTTTCTCATCAAATTTTACCCTGATCCCACTGCATGAGGCTCCCTTCTGACATCTCACAGGACAGGTTTGTTACCCACCTCGTGGTTCTCATGGGGCTGAACCACAAGACAGGAAAGGCTTGATAGTCTTCTAGATAGTCTGCCTTGATTGATGTTGATTTTAAATATATGTTTCTTAGAAACTTCAGCCCCTAATAATGACGTACAAGGTCTAAGGTCCTCATCAGAACATGAGACCAGCTGCTAAGAATTCATTTCTCGTCTTCCATCAGCTTAAGAACAAGGTTTAGTTTCACCTGTTTCGGGCTCTGTGACATAGTCTGTCAAGGCCTATTTTCTGGCTTTTGGTTTTTGTTGAACATCTTTACTCCCCATTTAGCCTCAGTAGCAGGAGATAGGAAGGATGCGATTCAGCAAACTCAGATGGTCTGCAAGGCCTCGATGCTAGGTTCTGAAGAGCAGGAGACAGTTTTAAGTAGCACTTTGATGTTCCTATCATGGTTGCTTAAGATCATCCCCAAATTTGTGCACATCCCCCAAGTCTGCTCAGCTAGGAAGAGCAGCCGTAGTGTGCTGACAGCTGGCTGAGAAGGGAGTGGTTGCCAGGGCTGATAGTGTAGGAAGTGCCCCTTCTGTACCAGGTGATGGAGCTGGTGCAGCCTGTCCTTGCCAGGGGGTGGCTGCACGTGAGGGGACATTCATGGGACCTCTTGGCTTCCAGGCGTAGGTGAGGGACCCTGATTCCTTTGTTCTCCAGGCCATGTGCATGATCATCAATGGTTTAATTTCTTCATTGCGCCTCCATGTAGATCGCAAGGCTAACAGGGTTTGGTGTGAACTAACCCGCATGTCCATACATCCAGCTGCTACCACTGGTAACACCACGTTGAAAAGTGAAGCAGGAGGCTCTAGCTGTTCCTGTAACTTCTTGCTTTTTCCCCGTCCCAAAGGTGGCGACCTGCACATGACCCAGTTTTTCCGAGGTAATCTGGCTGGCCTAACGATCCGTTCTGGGAAACTTGCGGATAAGAAGGTGATCGATTGTCTATATACCTGCAAAGAGGGGCTGGACTTGAAAGTCCCCAAAGACAGCGGCAAAGGCATGAAGGTAATACCAACCATGGAGTCGATTAGCATATATCTCCCTGGCATTGATGAACTTCTTAAACCACAAATTACGGAGGCTATCAGGACAAGGAAGTAATCTGCGGTTGTTAGGTTTGCATTTTAGGGGTTGTTGTTAGTTGCCACTGAGTCGGCTCCAACTCACAGTGACCCATGTACAACAGAACGAAACGTTGCCCAGTCCTACTCCATCTTCATGATCATTGGCGTGTTTGAATCCATTTGTGGTTATTGTGTCAAACCATCTCATTTAGGGTTTCCTTCGTTTTTGCTGACCCTCTACTTTACCGTCTGTGATGTCCTTTTCTAGCATTTGGTCTTTCCTGAGGAGGTGTCTAGAGTAAGCAAGCTAAAAGTTTCACCATTTCACTTCAGAGGAGCATTCTGGTTGTATTTCTTCTGAACTTTAGATATGACCATCGTGTAAAAGAAGATTTTGTTCACTGGAATTTTACTAGCTTTTCTTTTTCAATTTATAAGTTCAGGTTGATTCCCAAGATAATCCTCTGTTTGCCAAAGCATTCATAGCTATCAGCTTCCTGAAAATGGAACCTTACTCCTCTCCTCTCTTCGTTTGGCATGATTTCAGATCCAAGCAAACCCCAGTCAGTCCATGTTGACCTTGGAGGGCGAGGATATTGGGGAGTTGGATAAGGCCATGCAGCATATTTCCTACCTGAACTCTCGCCAGTTCCCCACTCCTGGAATCCGGAGACTCAAAATCACCAGCACGGTCAAGTATGTCTGAATTTCTAATAATAAACCTGTCTTAGTGCATTGACACCTGAGGAAAAAAATGTGTAAGAAAAGGTGGACCATCCCTTGTCACCACAAGTTTGAAAGATTTGAATGCTGCCTGTGACCTGTGGATCTATGTCCTGAGATGCCCACTCTCTTTTCTCCCCTTGTGTGGTCCTCAAAGCCCTGACCTTCCCTTTCCCTGTGTTTTCTTGCTGGCAGGTGTTTCAGTGAGGCCCCCTGCATCTCCATCCCCCCAGTGGATGGCTATGTGATGGTTTTGCAGCCGGAGGAGCCCAAAATCAGCCTGAGTGGCATCCACCATTTTGCTCGGGCGGCGTCCGAATTTGAAAGCTCAGAGGGGGTGTTTCTCTTCCCTGAGCTTCGAATCATCAGTACCATCACGAGAGAAGTGGAGCCCGAACGGGATGATGACGAGGACCCCACAGGTAACAGCCCTTCCAGGTGGGATTGGCTCCCTCTCCCTCCCCCTGGCTGGAGACTGGGCAGTGGAAACCCCATTGTTGTTAGGTGCCATCAAGTTGGTTCTGACTCACAGTGACCCTTTGCATAGCAGAACGAAACATTGCCCGGTCCTTTGCCATCCTCACAATTGCTGCTGTGCTTGAGCCTATTGTTGGAGCCACTGTGTCAGTCCATCTCGTTGAGGGTCTTCCTCTTTTTTGCTGACCCTGTACTTCAGCGAGCATGATGTCCTTCTCCAGGGACTGATCCCTCCCGATAACATGTCCAAAGCATGTGAGACATAGTCTCTTCATCCTTGCTTCTATGGAGCACTCTGGTTGTACTTCTTCCGAGACAAATATGTTTTTTCTTCTGGTAGTTCATGGTGTATTCAACATTCTTCGCCAACACCCCAATTCAAAGGTGTCAGTTCTTCTTCAGTCTTCCTTATTCATTGTCCAGCTTTCACATGCATATGAGGCGATTAGAGAACACCGTGGCTTGAGTTAAGCACTCCTTAGTCCTCAAGGTGACATCTTTGCTTTTTAACACTTTAAAGAGATCTCTTGCAGCCGATTTGTCCAGTGCAGCGCATCTTTTGATTTCTTGATTGCTGCTTCCATGGGTGTTGATTGTGGATCCAAGTACAATGAAATCCTTGACCTCAGTCTTTTCTCCATTTATCATGATGTTGCTTATTGGTCCAGTTGTGAGGATTTTTGTTTTCTTTATGTTGAGGTGTAATCCGTACTGAAGGCTGTGGTCTTTGATCTTCATCAGTAAGTGCTTCAAGTCCCCTTCAATTTCAGCAATCAGGGTTGTGTCATCTGCATATCGAAGGTTATTAATGAGTCTTCCTCCAATCCTGATGCACATCTTTCCTGACTTTAAACCATGCAGTGTCCCCTTGTTCTGTTCGAACGACTGCCTCTTGATCCATGTACAGGTTCCTCATGAGCACAGTTAAGTCCGGAATTCCCATTCTCTGCAGTGTTATCCATAATTTGTTAATGATCCACACAGTCGAATGCCTTAGCATAGTCAATAAAACACAGGTAAACATCTGTCTGGTATTCTCTGCTTTCAACCAGGATCCATCTGATGTCATCAGTAATATCCCTGGTTCCAAGTCCTTTTCTGAATCCAGCTTAAATTTCTGGCAGTTTCCTGTCGATGTACTGCTGCAGCTGCTTTTGAATGATCTTCAGCAAAATTTTACTTGCGTGTGGTATTAATGATATTGTTTGATAATTTCCACATTTGGTTTTATCACCTTTCTTGGGAATAGGCATAAATATGGATCTCTTCCAGTCGGTTGGCCAGGTAGCTGTCTTCCAAATTTCTTGGCATAGATGAGTGAGCACTTCAGCGCTGCATTCGTTTGTTGAAACATCTTAATTGGTATTTCGTCAGTTCCCAGAGCCTTGTTTTTCACCAGTGCCTTCAATGAAGCTTAGACTTCTTCCTTCACCACCATCAGTTCCTGATCATATATTACCTCCTGAAATAATTGAACATTGACCAATTCTTTTTGGTATAGTGACTCTGTGTATTCCTTCCATCTTCTTTTGATGCTTCTTGAGTCATTTAATATTTTTCTCATAGAATCTTTCAGTATTGCAGCTAGAGGCTTGAATTTTTTCTTCAGTTCTTTAAGCTTGAGAAATGCTGAGCGTGTTCTCCCCTTTGGTTTTTTATCTCCAGGTCTTTGCACGTCATAATACTTTGTCTTTTCGAGCTGCCCTTTGAAATCTTCTGTTCAGCTCTTTTACTTCATGATTTTTTCCTTTTGCCTTAGCTACTTGACATTCAAGAGCAAGTTTCAGGGTCTCTTCTGACATCCATTTAGGTCTTTTCTTTCTCTCTTGTCTTTTTAATGACCTCTTGGTTTCTTCATGTATGATGTCCTTGCACAACTTGTCTTGTCTTTGGTCATTAGTATTCAGTGCGTCAAATCTGTTCTTGAGATGGTTTCTAAATTCAGGTGAGATATATTCAAGGTCGTACTTTGGCTCTCATGGACTTGTTCTAATTTTCTTCAATTTCAACTTGAACTTGCATATGAGTAATTGATGGTCTGATCTGCAGTCGGCCCCTGACCTTGTTCTGACTGATGATATTGAGCTTTTCCATCATCTCTTTCCACAGATGTAATCGATTTGATTCCTATGTATTCCATCTGGCGAGGTCCATGTGTATAGTTGCCACTTATGTTGTTGAAAAAAGGTATTTGCAATAACAAAGTCATTGGTCTTGCAAAATTCAATCATGCAGTCTCCGGCATTGTTTCTGTCACCAAGGCCATATTTTCCAACTACCGATCCTTCTTCTGTTTCCAGCTTTCACATTCCAATCACCAGTAATTATCCGTGCATCCTGATTGCATGTTCGATCAATTTCAGACTGCAGAAGCTGGTAAAAATCTTCAGTTTCTTGATCTTTGGCCTTAGTGGTTGGTGCGTAAATTTGAATAATAGTCGTATTAACTGGTCTTCCTTGAAGGCGTATGGATATTATCCTATCACTGACAGTGTTGTACATTAGGATAGATGTTGAAATGTTCTTTTTGACGATGAATGCAATGCCATTCCTCTTCCAGTTGTCAGTCCCAGCATAATAGACCATGTGATTGTCCAATTCAAAATGACCGATACCAGTCCACTTCAGCTCAGTAATGCCTAGGATATCGATTTTTATGTGTTCCATTTCATTTTTGATGATTTCCAGTTTTCCTAGATTCGTTGCTGCCACTTAGTTCCTTAGCTTCTCTTCTCAGCAGGATTTGGTGGGGGGAGGATTTTAATGTTTGTCTTGCTATTCTTAGGTCTGCTTCTGACCCGTGGGCTAGAGCTTGTTGTGAGTCTGTCCCTCTTTTTATGGCTGGATGTCAGGATTTGAGATTTAGCTTGAAAAGGCTGAAGAAGTGAGACTGTTGCAGAGAGATGTAGAGACACCCACGCCCCCTGCCCCCTGTCAGTGCGTGCGCTGGGCTTGGCTGGCCCCATCAGGCACAGGTTCCCACCACACTGGTGGCCCATCCTCCTAGACACATAAGGTCCCGCCGGTTCTTGGAAGTGGCTCTATCCTATCTTCCTCACTAGTTGTTAGCAGAGTTTCATGAATCTGAGGATGAGCCTACGTGACCACCGTTCTGGGTGGTGTGACCAGATTGACCAGCTAAGTGTGACCAGTGTGACCAGCCACGCTTCATGGGCTGTGTGGTCAAGTGTGATCAGTCATGCTGGGCTGCATAGTCTGCTGTCTGTGGCCATTTTTGCAGTTCAAGAGTCCCTGGTGTCTGAGGAGATTGTGCATGACCTGGATACGTGTGAGGTCACCGTGGAGGGAGAGGAACTGAACCAAGAGCAGGAGAGCCTAGACGTGGACATGACACGCCTGCAGCAGAAGGGCATTGAGATGAGCAGCTCCGACCTGGGTGTGGTTTTCACAGGTGAGGGGGCACTGCTCACAGATGAGGGAGGCCCTGCAGGGCTGAGGGGCTGGAGCAGGCCGGACCGGGAAGGTGAGCACTGAAACACTCAGCCAGCTGCCTCTTTCCATCTAAGAGTCTTCAGTGTGTCCCAGAGGAGAGGGGATGAGTGTTGGCTATGCCTCAACACCCATCCTTCTGTAGTGGGAAGTGGGGGCATGACCTTACAAAGGTGTAGAATTCAGGCACATGAAGGTGCATCCCCTTCTAGAGGGAAAAATGCCAAACACACTTTGCATTCTTGCCCATTAGTGGAAAGTCAAAATATATGACCCCTGGCTCAGTCGGCCCAGGTGCGACTCTGGCCGGCCTTTGTCCACGGCCCTGTCTACACCTGTGTGCCTGCCTGAGGAGCCACAGGCGACCTCTTGCCTTCCCCCCGCAGGCGTGGACACCATGGCCAGCTATGAGGAGGCGCTGCACCTGCTGCGCTACCGCAACTGGCACACCAGGTCCTTGCTTGACCGCAGGTTCAAGCTCGTCTGCTCAGAGCTGAATGGCCGCTACGTCAGCAACGAATTCAAAGTGGAGGTGAGTGCAGGGCTAACAGAGCGCCCGGCTCTCAGCCCTGATGCTCGCAGACACCACTTTTTAAAGCCTTCATGGTGTCAGCTGTTTACACTTGTCCCAGGAGCGGGATCCTCTTTTAGCCTCGGGGTGCTGCGTGTTGGGGCGACAGGTTATGAAGGGTAGATGGGGGTTCTGCTTGGTGCGCCCCTCTCGGCTGCCTCAGGGAGCCTTCAGAGGGAGGTGGGGAAGTGCAGGTGGCAGTTCAGTGCCCGTAGGGTAGGGACAGGGTTGTGTTTTGAGAGTTCACACGTGAGGGAGACACAAGAACACTGTGTTAGAGAGAGCGCCTAGGGAACCGGGCTCTTTGTGGGTGTGTCAGATCACTGGCCCTGTTGTGAATAAAGTTGACCTTTGGTGCAGGGTCACTGCCAGGGTGCTAGCATGCGAACCAGCAACAGCAGGCGCACATCTGCTGAGGATGGTTGCAGTGACTCAGGCCACAGTGATGAGAGGGCAGCTTGTCTTGTACTGAAATTGTCCACAGACCTGCCCAGCAGCTGCTTAGTCATTCAAGGCCTCTGTGGTCTGGGGGAACGACCCAGAGTTATCCCAGCAACAGAGCGTCTCCAGGTGGACTGGGGGAACGACCCAGAGTTATCCCAGCAACAGAGCATCCCCAGGTGGTCTGGAGGAATGACCCAAAATTATCCCAGCAACAGAGAGTCCCCAGGTGGTCTGGGGGAACGACCCAGAGTTACCCCAGCAACAGAACGTCCCCAGTTGGTCTGGGGGAATGACCCAGAGTTATCCCAGCAACAGAGCATCCCCACGTGGTCTGGAGGAATGACACAGAGTTATCCCAGCAACAGAGAGTCCTCAGGTGGTCTGTGGGAACGACCCAGAGTTACCCCAGCAACAGAACATCCCCAGTTGGTCTGGGGGAACGACCCAGAGTTATCCCAGTAACAGAACATCCCCAGTTGGTCTGGGGGAACGACCCAGGGTTATCCCAGCAACAGAGAGTCCCCAGGTGGTCTGGAGGAATCACCCAGGGTTATGCCAGCAACAGAGCGTCCCCAGGTGGTCTGGAGGAATCGCCCAGGGTTATCCCAGCAACAGAGCGTCCCCAGGTGGTCTGGAGGAACGACCCAGGGTTATCCCAGCAACAGAGCATCCCCACAGTGGCCTGAACAGCAGCAGAAGGCTAACTTCACAGTGAAGAATTGACAAATATTTTGTTTGAACCCAAGGGTGACTGATGTGAAAGGAAATAAGTGATTATGATTCGTGCTGTCTGCCACATGGCTGTGGTTTTTGGGAAAAGGGGACGATGGTTTATGCTAGGGCTTCTTGAATTCCCTGTGACAAAGGTCCAGGGTTTTCTTTTATCCCCCAGTCTGCTGAGAAGGGGTTCTTGTATATAATAAAAATGAGTTACTAGAAAAGCAGTGTGTTTCTGGGATGCTGTGGCAGCATCATCTTGTTATAGAAGTTTCCGAATACTCACTCTGGATTTCTGTCCTCCTGTCACAGATGGTGCATAGTTTGCAGACCAGGCCTGGCCCAGGTGCCACACTTTCAGTGGTGCTGGTCTCTGTCAACTTACTGATTCCATTTTTATCCCTTGGCAAGTAATCGTCTCTCTGCTGTAGGTGAATGTAATCCACACGGCCAACCCCGTGGAGCATGCCAGCCACTTGGCTGCACAGCCACAGTTTGTGCACCCTGAGCACCGCTCCTTCGTTGACCTGTCGGGGCACAACCTGGCCAGTCCCCATCCCTTTGCAGGTAGGTTGGAGAGGCACCTCTGCTGACACACCCTCTGACACCCGAGCCAGGTCAGAGTGCGGGCCTCCCTCCCCTGCCTTCCCTTTTCCTTGCTCCTGAATGCGGGAGGGCAGGAAGGACCCTGCTGGGAGCATGTCACTGTCCCCAAAGCCACCCCCTGGCAGTGAGTCAGGCATCACCAGTCCACGTCACACACGAGAAAACTAAGCACTGGCAGAGGACGCATTGAGTTACCTGAGGTCACAGAGCAGCCAGTGACAGAACCCAGATCGGAAACCCGGGCTGAGCGTTTTCTAATGTTTCTTCCCATCCTTTGGGGATCAGACTAAGCATTCTTATGGCCCATTTTGACCTCGTGTAGCCAAGGAGGAGTCAGGGCCCAGCGACCACGTGGGTTAGACTGCGTGATTAACACTCACTTCGTCTCTCCCCTTGCTGCAGTCGTTCCCAGCACTGCCACTGTTGTGATTGTTGTGTGCGTCAGCTTCTTGGTTTTCATGATTATCCTGGGAGTGTTCCGGATCCGGGCTGCCCACCAGCGAACCATGAGGGACCAGGATGCAGGGAAGGAGAGCGAGATGGACTGGGACGACTCTGCCTTGACCATCACTGTAAACCCCATGGAGGTAGGAGTGGATGGGCGGCCAGGAACGGAAAACCAGGCAGAGTCCGGCTGACCACAGACAGACCCATCTTCTCGGCCCCTTCCCCGTCTACTGTGTTTACGTACTTTAGCTCAGGCAACCCTTGCAGCAACTCTGTGAGGTAGGCGTCCTCATCTTTCAGTGGGTGAGCTCAAGCTCCTTGTTGTGTGCTGTCGAGTCGATTCCGACTCATAGTGACCCTGTAGAATAGAGTAGAACTGCCCCAAAGGGTTTCCTAGGCTGAAATCTTCACAAGAGCAAATCACCAGATCTTTTTTTCCTGAGGAGCAGCTGGTGGGTTTGAACTACTGAGCTTTCGGTTAGCAGCTGAGCGCTTAACCACCGTGCAACCATTGCTCCTTAACTCAGGCTCAGAGGTGCCTTATTCGAGGTCGTACTAAGTAGTACGTGTTGAAGCGGGGCTCACACCAGACCCGTTCTCATCCACTCAGCACTCTTTCCTTATTTACCTCGTGGCCTCCGCCCATGTGAGACACGTTTCTTGGGCGGGGAAGCTGAGGCATCCTGGCACAGTTCTTCCTGTGTCCACCTGTCTCATAGGCGGGTGCACACGTGGGTGGTGATCAGAGCTTTGCTTTTCTTTTTACTCCAATAAGGCAACTCCCAGTGCCGCACAGGCCCCATCTCAGCACTGGGAAATCGGGGCACGGGCAGGGGCCAGGGGGCTGCACTCAGCCACCGTCTCTTTGTCAGACTTACGAGGACCAGCACAGCAGCGAGGAGGAGGAGGAAGAGGAGGAGGAGGAGAGCGAGGAGGGTGAGGAGGACGACGACATCACTAGTGCCGAGTCGGAGAGCAGTGAGGAGGAGGAAGGGGGGCATGGGGAGCAGGCGGGCGCCAGCAGGCAGCAGCAGCTAGAATGGGATGACTCCACTCTCAGCTATTGACCTTGGGGCAGCAGCTGCGGCTCCTCCACGGCCCTTCTCTTTTCTGCTCCCGAAGACTCTGCCACTCCCACCCTACTCGTCCCAAGGATCCACGATGTACAAAATCATTCGGCCAGTAGGTCTGCAGACCCTCCCTGGTGCCTGTTGTCCACCCCTGCTTGGTGTATAGGACTTAGATACCCCTCCCTGCCTGGATCTCATCTAAATTACGTGAGGAGCGACCCCCATGCCCTCCGCCGTCATCTCGCTCGGCGTAGTGACCCTCTGTGCTTGGACACGCACACATGGTGTCCACAGGCCCCTCTTGGCCTGTGAGGACGCGGCCGCTGGCACCTCCCGGAGCCGCACGGACAGACAGACTTACTGACCAAGGGTAACGTTGCTCACTCCCACCTGGTAACCAGTTTTCTTTTTTTTTTTTAAAAAGAAGTTTTTATTTTTTCCAAACTAGTGCATGTATAAAATGGCAAAATGGGGGTTAATATGTAGATGATTAACTGACTTTTTAATATTCTGTAAATAAATTGGAATTCTGTTGTGTCCGTTGTGCTAATGTAATCAAGGACTGGAATTTAAAGTGAAATTCAGATTACTGAGTGCAGTGGAGACCCTCATGGGCTCACTGCTCCCACCAGCCTACCCACCCTGCCGAGAACAAGGAGAAGCCTGTCCCCCACCCAGGTACCTAGGTCCCGCAGGGGCCCACACCCTACTGGGTACAATCCAGCCTCAGGTCTCCGAGTGTGGGTGGGGCAGCCTGCTGGGGGCACAGGTTTTGTGTACTGCTTGGCTGGGGAGACTGGCTGGGGGGCCCTTCTGTGGAGGCTAGACATAGCCAAGTCTTTTGGGGGATTCTCCCTGTTTCTGATTTGGCGGGGGGTAGGTGGGAGGGAGTTGCTGGGTTCACTGGCCTGTTACATACTCCTTGTACAGTCATCTGGACTTTTCTTGTGCAGCCTTGCTGTTTATACTTAATGTATTTTTCCCTGCTGACAACATACTGTATAGATGACACAAACGGACAACCATTGGGCAAACTGTTTGGGCACTGGGTCTGGGGACAGCAGCAGGCCTGAGCGAGCCAGACTCAGGATGGCCGAGGAGCAGATGGGCTGCAAAGAGCCTCCCCAGACAATGGCCATGCACTAGATTTTCCCCAACAGCTGTTGCCCCTCCAGCCTCCCCAGGGTGACCCTGCCCCGGGCGTCACAGCCACACCCAGTCAGTGGCAAGGAGGGAGAGGAGAGGAGAACAGACAGGACTGAAACCCACACGGCCACTTTTTTTTCTTTTTTAATTTAAATGTAAAATTTTAGGTTTCTAAAACGGTGCAGGGGGGTGGATAATTTTGAATACTGTCCTGTGATCGTAACTGCTAGTTTCAAGAAAATGGACGGTTGTCCTGTGCTCCTGTGTAACCATCCTCCATATCCTGCCACCGTAGCTGCTCTGTCTAGACCACTGATAACCGAACATGGAGAGGGGACCGTGCTCCTGTCAGTAGCCACCCCGGGTGTCGCTCTTCAGATGTGTAAATTGATGCGCGGTCAGAAAGTGTATACGCTACAATAAAGTTCCGGTTCTAACTCCGCTCGGAGCGGCTTTTTGTTTTTTATCTTGTTTGTTTTTTAATCCTGCATTCCCCTTGCTACTTTTGAGTGGAGACATAACAAGGCTTTTATTTCTTTTTTAATCTGATTTCACCTCATTCTGAGGTTTTGCAGAGTGCTGGTCTTGGCTTACATCAGCTTTGTTGAATTCGCCTTCCCCGTACAGAAACAGTGATTTAAAAAAATAGGAAATCTCACCAGGCACACAGACTACACACCCAACCCCAGAATTGCTGTGTATGTGCAAAGGAACGCTGCCCACACCGGGGAGCACTCAAACTCGCTTCAATAAATAACAGAATATACATATACACGGGCACTTGGCCTTTCGATTTCCTAACAGGGTGGAACTATTAATTTCAGCACGCACTCTGGAAGACTAGTCATTTGGCGACTTTGGATGAGCCAGGTATTCTGAGTGACGCTGACAGACGAGGTGGCAGAGGCAGCTGGGGCCAGCCACCTCCCAGAGCAGGGCGCTTCCTCCTGCCTCTGACTAACCAGACCCACAGTTAGCGCCTGCCTCTTTTTTTAAGCCAGGTGCCTGGGCTATTGAGAGGGCAGCTACCTCAGCTCTGCCGAGCTTCAGAAGGCCTTTTGAGAGGTCAGGAGGGTAGCCTGGCTAGTCCTGACTCTGCTGCTAGCACATGAGGACCACCTGCGGGCTTCTAAAAACCCAGACTCCTGAGCCCCTGAGCTTCAGAAGGTGGGCGAGGCCTGGGAATCTGTATTTTTGAAGCTCCTGAATCCAGATGGTTGGGAACTGCTGACTCAGCCTGGCTCTCGCCTGAGGCCTAAGGTGAAAAGCTAAGTACCATCAGAGAAAAAGATTCCATCATGCCACAGACCCCTCACATGGCTGGTACCGTTGACTATCACAGCAGGTTTTCAAAAGTGACAGTTCTGGAAAAAGAGCTCAGCTCCCATGCCTTAATGAAGCCCCGCACTCTGAGGCGGGTCCCAGCTATTGCACAGAGTACTCTTGAACCTGCTTTCCCCTTGATTTAGAGCCAGGATGAGCTAAAACAAGCTCAACTCTTTTTTTTTTTTTTTTTTTTTTAAACACTTTTTAACACATCTTGAGGACCCGCATATATATTATACTTTGTGGGGGCCGGGTCAACTTCCCCTAGCCATGGAGGTTCAGTAAGGAGTTTGGCTGTATTTCTTACTGCACACAAAATGGCTTTACAGCAGAGATGAGAGGATCCCCGGGCCCAAGAGTTACTTTAAAAGCGAAGTGTGGCATCATCCCTGAATCTCAGGGCACCGGGCGTCCTTGGAGGTGGCCACCACAAATCACAGTCAGTGGGGGACGGGCAGGGCTCGGCAGCACAGAGGTGGCAGGAGGAGGGCTGAGGACTGGGGTGCCTCTCTGGACAGTAGGCACCAGGTGACTGCTGGAGCCGACACCCCTGCAGCCGGGCAGCTCCCAGGAGGAGAGGAGTCGGGCTGGGCCCAGATCACCAGCTGGAAGACTTGGGGCTGCGACCCTCCACCGAGGGGCAGCCTGGGGGCACCCCGTATTCCTCCCCACCAGGCTCAAAGGCTGCCTTTGCTTTTATGGCTGTGAAGTCCCTTCAGCATTTCAAGTCATAAATAAATAACCGCAAGTATTTCGTCCAGTGTAAACAAAAGGCAATTGTGTAGGTTCTTTCTCATGAGGTGCAGTTCAGGCCTTTGGGATAAAGATCGCCTCTGCTCCTGGCACAAGGGCTAGGCGCCACCAGCATGCGGGGCCAGAGGGGCCGCTACTGCCTGTTGTCTTTAGACACATTGTGGGCCAACCAGTTCACTTTGGTTTTCCAGCTCTCCCGCAGGGCTTCATTAAACTTGACCCGGAAGTGCTTGAGTGCTTCCTCCTCCGTTTTCCCCAATGCCAGGGAGTCCTGAGACCAGAGCATCAAAGCAGTGTTAACCCGTGGCCTGGCCCAGGAACGAAGCCCTACTGCCTCTCTGGATATTCTAAATTCCTTCCTAAGAAAATTGAATGAAGGAGTTAGACTACAGCCAGTCACAAAGCAAGACAGGTCAAGGTGACCCACCTACAGAATAAGGGTGCAAACTTGCCAGGGTGTCTTGGCCCCCAAGCCCACAGGTAATAGCTTTGCCTTCTCCAGTGGAGACAGCAGCTCTGGGAGGAAGCGGAGGGCAGTTTTGTTCTTCAGGAATTGGCACCAAGAGGGAACCCTGGCCAGGCCATCCTCACTACCCACCCCAGCTTCTCACCTGAAAAGATACAGGAAAGAAAACTACCTAATCCAACCCCTCATTCTCTGAATGAAAAGCCTGTGGCCCGAGGAGGGTAAGTGGGTTGACCGAGGCCAAGAGCACGTCTGCAGCAGGCCAAGGACTAAAGCCAGGCAGCACGAGTCCTGCTTTGGCTGCTGCCCAGTGGGTGGGCTCGAGGGGTGCATAAGGTAGGAATGGCCCATGGGATCCACCACACTCAGGCCCTCCTGGCTCGCGTCCCTTGGAGCGAAGCCTTGGGAAGTCTGGCTACACCTGGTGTCCTGCCTGGAGTGGTGGTCCTGATTCACCTTGAGATACTGGATGTCTTTTGAGCAGCTGAGTTCAGGCAGGCCTGCTGCCCTCATGAGAGCAAAGAGGTGGAGAAAGAGCAGCCCGTGGCGCCGCAGGATGGTGTAGGCTTTCTCACAGTAGCCTCGGAACCTGCATCGGTGGAGGAAGAGACTATGGCTCTGGTCCTTGTAGCCACTGCCAACCCCAGGCTGCCCAGCAACTTCCCCGGAGCACCTGCCCTTGCCCTGAAGACAGGCCATGTACTCAAAGCCCCCAGTTCCTCTAACTGACCCCCCATGCCACAGCTTGACTTCTACTACACTACATGGCCTAGGAACGTCCCCCGTACTGCCCCAGTAGGGCACTCCAGAGCTGGGGTGGGGGTACTTCCTGCTGAGAAGGCAGGGACATGTTCCAAATCCCTCAGGAACACAGGGTTGGGGGGCCACAGTGGGGCTGAGGGCCGAGTCCTTGTCCCTGTAGCCTGCAGGGACCTCTGCTCCCTCACCGGAATGCTGGAGACTGAGGGACCCCTGGTGGGTCTAAGGCACCCTCACCTTTCAAACTTCTCATTGTTGTTCGTCTTCCCCTGCTGAATCACATGGACAAAGTCATAGGTGAGGATGAATGGGACTCGTTCACGGTTGATTCCAAACTTGGTCTTGAAATTCCCCAGAAAGTGGCCAAAATCAATGTGGAACAGCTAAGGGGATGGAAGAGCAAAGGCTGAGGGGGTGTCAGGAAGGAGAGCTGCCAGGTGCAGAGACTCAGGTTCACAGGGACTTGGGCTCACAGGGGACTTTGCCCGGGAATTGTGTGCAGGGCAGAAAGGCCAGGGGCCACAGGCTGCCCACGTGGCAGCTGCCCACACCACCTACCTGCCCACTTTCACGGATCATGATGTTGTCACTGTGCCGATCGCCGATGCCCAGCACATAGGTGGCCACACAGTAGCCAGCACAGGAAAGGGTGAACTCCTCGATGGCTCGGTCCAGGGCCTCCCTGGGTGGGGAAGATTGAAACCATGGCTATGTTCTGCAGCTCCTTCTACCAAGTGGTGTGGACTATTCCCCTCCCCTTGAATCTGGCTGGCCTCATGACCTGCTTTGGCCACAGATGTGGAGGAAATGATGTTGGGAGCATTACAGAACCTAAGCCTTGAGACACCTCACAGCTTTCGGACACCCCTGCCCGTCAAAGGAAGCCCAGGCTGGTCTACCAAATGAGGAGACGCCAAATGGAGAAGGACAGAGCTGACAACCAGCACGAGCTCCTCAGACATGTAAGTGGGGCCACTGTAGACCCTCCAGACCCCATCAAGCCACCAGATGGCAGTAGTCCCATGAGTGATCCCAAGCAAGACCGGCAGAAGAATCACCCAGCTGAGCCCAGCCCAAATTGCAGATTCATTGAGCAGTAAATGGTTACTTAAGTCCCTAAGTTTTGAGTGGTTGCTACACAGCAATAAATAACTGATATGTGGAGAAACAGAGATCCCCTATCCCAACACAGACATGAGCTGACTCTCAGCCTGAATGTCACAGGCCCTTCCTCTCACCTTTGGCAGTAATGGGCCAGCCCCTCCCAAGCCGCCCCTCTTGGGAAGAGAGGGCATCTGTCCCTGGGGCCCAAAACCAACCCTGGGTTCTTGGACTTGAGCCAGTTGAGCAGGGCATCCTTGTTAAAGGCAGCTGTGGCTGCCATGTTGCTCTTGTTTAGCTGGATGTTGGCGATGGTGTCTGAGTGGAGCACTACTTCGATGAGGCCTGTGCGGTCCCCGGTGGAGAGGCAGCCATAGGGGGTCATCCTGTGCAAGTGCAGAGAGGGGAGGCAAAGGCCATGGTCAAGCCTGTCCCTGGGGCTGCTTGGCCCCATGGACCTTGTGGCACCCAAAAACACCACAGGAGATGCTGCTCAAGGAGCTGGGAAGGAGCCCACAACTCCAAGGCCCCTTGGAGAGTCAGCCCCGGCACCTGAGACCCTGAGGGGAGAGCTTGGCATCTTGGCTGAGCTCATGTTGGCTCAGAAGAAAAAACCATGGTGGTTGGAAGAGGACATCACTGCTTCCAAAGATGAGGCAGGAAGCCAAGGACACTTGGGGCAAAGAAAACAACAGAGTGAAGAGACGCTGAGCCTGGAACAGCTTCTCCACACATGTCCTGTTGCCACCATCACTTCCCTCGCCAGACATGGAAACAGCACCCGCTCTTCTTACAACAGCCCTTTCTCAGCAGGGAGAGTAACGGCTGCTTTGACAGGCAGCCCCCCAAAGAGGCCAGGGCCCTAGGCCTTGTGCAGACATAAATGGGTGACAAGGAGCCCTCACCTCAGGTCCAGCCCCTCCTGCTTCCACAGAACGTCCATGAGCTGGATCATTTGCAGAGTCAGCATGTCCTGGCGGAGATCTGTCCAGCCAGCGCCGGAAGGAAAAGCACAAGTTTCTGGGGGGTACTGCACTCTGAGCTACGTCCAGGCCCTGAAGTCCCAGGTCTGTCTTTCAGCTCTCCCCATAGGAATCACACCCAGGTGTCCCCCAGGCCAGTACAGGCATGGAGGGGGGAAGGCCTCAGTGGGTTCCCTCCCAGGCCCTGCCTGCTCACCATCCCCATTCTTGAAGATGATGCCCACGCTGCCCTCACTGCCCGCCTCCTCATTGCTGTACATGATCCATAGGGGCTTCATCTTGGAGTCCATGAAGGTGCACTGCTCCACACTGCTGGGCCAGAGATCAGTCAGTGGGCCTCCGTGGGGCCGGGGGCAGTCAGGCAGAGGACCTGGAGGGGCGTGGGTGGTGCTTACCAGACGTCAGCCAGCAGCGTGCTGGGGTCGAGTGGGGACTGCAGGTGGGAGAGAGCCTCCAGGTAGGTCTCCTGACGCATGCACACATGCATCATCTCCTTGGTTTGCGGCTTGGTGGTCTTCTGGGAGCTCACTTTGACAAAATCATTCAGGGCCTTCAGCTTGCTCAGTGCTTCCCCCTGGCCAGAGAACGGGAGGTTGGAAGGAGCAGCCTGGAAGGGTTTGAGCTCTCGGCCTCACTGGCCCAGGTGATTCGAAGGGGCCAAGCTTGGGGAGGGGTGCAGAGGTTGGGACCTCACCTGCTTCATCAGCACCTTCATGTGGTGGGTGCTGCCCCTGCAGTAGGCCTCCATGATGAGGCCGAAGCGCAGGGCCACCGATGGAACATGCATCTCGGAGCTGAAGGGAGAAGAGAGGATTGAGCCCGTGGCAGGGCCACACAGCCCGGCCCCAGCCCAGGCAGGGACATCCCCTGGGACTCAGGCGGCCAGGACACCCAGGCCTTCTAGAAACTCGGGGTCAGAGGACCAGAAGCCCCTCTCCCACCGTGGCCTTTCCCCTCCGGGGGACACAGAGGCCAGGGGAGTTCAGCTACCGGAGGTGCCAGAAGAGGAAGTGACCGATCTTGCGGTTGGCCAGTGCCCGGTCCAGCAGAAACTTGGTCAGCTCACAGTCCAGGTAGGACTCATACTTGAGTACCTGCACCAGCTGCAGCAGGTACTGGAAAAGCTCATCGTCCCTGCAAAGAAGGGAGGCCACTGGGGTCACTTCGGATAGGGGGCCCACAGTGGGCGGGGGCAGAGCAGGAGCAAGAGGCGACCTCCACTGGAGTAGGCCTTAAGAGGCTCAGTGTCTCCTAGCAGTGCCCCTTGCTGGCAGCTGGGGCAAAGCAACCCTCTAGCTCCACTGCCCAGCAGCCCCAGCAGCCTACAGGACTCACGTCAGCTTGCGCAGGGACTTGATGGCAAAGGAGCCCACGTGGCGGTCCGGGAAACTGAAGTCCAGCAGCTCCAGGGCACTCAGGACGGGCAGCTCGGGCCATGAACACAGCAGGCAGAGCATCTGGAGGGAGGGATCAGGGTGGTGGAGTGGGAGCGGGCTGCCAGGGAAGGAGGCCATGGGGAGGAGGCCGCCAGGGGAGGAGGGTATTACAGGAGGGGGCCAGCAGGGGAGGAGGCCACCAGGCTGACCAGGCTCTGTCTGACCCCACCCCCTGCCCACCTGGGCCACGTCCTCGTGCTTGTTCCACTTAGTGACCAGCAGCAGCCGGGCCAGAGCCTCAGGGAAGTACTCCTGGACCTCATGGCGCATCTTCCACACCAGGTCCTTCTCGTGCTCGTACAGCTCCCCCGAGCCGCGCCGCTCCAGGATTTCCCGCAACTGCAGCTGCTGAGGGGTGCAGGGGGGTGAGGGCTGCTCCCACCCACTCTTCTCCCTGCCCCGCGCCCCATACCCAGCTCACCTCCTCCTCGGTGAAGCGCCCGTGCTCCCCGTGCCGCCCCAGCTCCAGGATCTGCAACACAACAACCCGCCCTGCTCTCAGCGACGCCCCCCACCGGCCAACGCTGTGCCAGCCCCAAGCAGGGCTTTCAGATTCTGGGGCACAGTTTCCAAGTTTAGCACTGCTGACATTATGGGCCAGATGACTCTGTTGTGGCGCTGTCCTGTGTAGGACGTTTGTAGGATGTTTAGCACCATCCCAGCCTCCACCCACAGATGCCAGTAGCACCACCTTCCACACTAGTTGTGACAACAAAAAAGGTCTCCAGACATTGCTCAATATCCCGTTGTTGCTATGTGCCATTGAGTCCATTTCAACTCACAGCAACCCCGTGTGACAGAGTAGAACGGCCCCATAGGGTTTTCTTTACTGTAATCTTTACAGGTGGCCCTGGTGGTGCAGTAGTTAAGAGCTCAGCTGCTAACCAAAAGTTCAAACCCACCAGCTGCTCCTTGGAAACCCTGTGGGGCAGTTCTACTCTGTCCTATAGGATCGCTATAAGTCGGAATCGACTCGACAGCAATGGGTTTTTTGTTTAATCTTTATGGGAGCAGATTGTCAGGTCTTTCTCCCGAGGAGCTGCTGGGTGGGTTCTAACAGCTGACCTATCTGTGCACAGCCGAGCAGTTAACCATTGTACCACCAGGCACTGTGGGGGTCAGTATTGCCTGGGCTGAGAACCTCTGCTCTAGGGCATGTGAGAATTCCAGAGATTCAGGAACACCCCAACTGTGCATGGTGACTACCTGCCCCCACCACACCCCAGCCCTGGGCAACTCATGGGTTGGCAGAGACCTTGCTCTGGGGAGCATCTGAGGCAGGGCCTGGAAAGTGCCCATTTGATCCCACAGCCTCTGGGCGGGGCAGGTCCTGGTATGGGGGCCCAGCCCAGCCGAGGTCCTGCCCCGAACTGACCTTCTCCAGGGCAGGGTAGTACACGGGATGAGGGGCCACCTCGGGGAGGCAGATGACCAGGGCAGCGGCACTCTCTGTGTTAGGATTACTCCGCACAGTCCCTGTGGGGTTCAGCAGCTCCCCTTTCTCGTCTGAACACACAGACAGATGAAGTCAGGTGCATGGAGAACACCGCCACCCCTGGGGCTCCCCATGCCCCTTAAGCCTCTATCCCCGGCCTGGCAGACCTGGGACAAAGGGCCACATGTAGAGGCACTGCTCCCCGGTCTTGAGCTGGTCCTTATAGTCAAACAGCATGAGGTTGGCCCAGGCGATGGGGCAGTCCTGGGGAGGACGAAGCAGGTCAGGGTCAGAGGGGACTCCATTTGCTCATCTGCAGAATGGGATCAGCCTCCAAGCCAAGCTTCCCTGTCCTCATCCAGACATCCCAAAGAGAGGAGCAAGAAGACTCAGACACCAGCTGAGGTCTCCCAACCAGACCCCAGAGGAGAACCTGCTTAGAGAGGGGGAACCCACTGTTTCCCTTTCTTATCAGAATCCCAGTGAGGAAGGCCAGCTGCCTGACTGTGCCCTCTGCTCCCAGCAGCACCCACACCCTCGGCTTATCGAGAAACCCCCAAACCAACCACATCAGCCCCCAGAGAGCTGGCCCTACTCAACCTTCCATGAGTCAGCAGGGCTGAGTGGAGTCACATCCTGGGCCTGGTGACTCAAGAGTCCCAGCACCACCCGTTCCTGATGGCATGACTTAGGCCTTTCTGCTCCCCAAGAGGACAGCAGCTTTGCCCTTCCCACCTCAAGGAGCTGCCTCCAGATCCCCACAGGACCAAAGACCCACATATTCCAAGTAGCCTGCTCACAGCCCAGCAACCCAGAGCCTTCACGAGGGAGGGGTGGAGGCTGGACAGGGAGGGGCGAGGCTGGGGGGCTGAGGTCTGCAGGCCCACCACAGAGCCCCCCACCCGGGCTGGGAGGATGGAGAGAGGCTCAGCTGCAGGGGCAGGACGGGGCCCAGCAGGAGGTACACTGGCTCTCAGGGGCCTGAACCCCAGCCTGACCCACCGCCTTCTTGGACTTCTTCTTGGTGGAGCGAGCCTTCTTGGCCTTCTCAATCACAGCGTAAAGCGCGAGGCAGAGCCGGGCCATTCGGGGCAGGTCACAGATGTTGATGTCGAACTCCAGCCGCTGGTTCCACACGGGCCCTGAGCACACGCTCACCTCTGAGCTGGACACCATTTTGCACAGCATCTCGTTGCCGTGGAAGAGCCCAGCCTGCACCACCAGCTGTGGGAGGTGCCAAGGCGCAGGTGAGCCGGCAGCAGGGGTGAGCGGTCAGTGCGGACCCAAGCAGGCAGGCACCCAGGGCAGAGGCCCAGCCCCTCTCCCTCCCAGGCCTCTCCCACCTAATGGTCAAATCTCCTCCTCTTTGTTGCTTGTTGCCGTTGAGTACAATTCTGACTCATGGCGACCCCATGCGTGCAGAGCAGAACTGTGCTCTACAGGGTTTTCAACAGCCCCAACCTTTCAGAAGCAGATCGTCAGGTCTGTCTTCCGGAGCACCACTGGGTGGATTCAAACCACCAACCTTTAGGTTAGCAGCAGAGTGCTTAAACCATTGCTTCATGAGGGCTCCTTTTCTTCTCCTTAAATACCCTAATTTAAGTGAGTCTGAGTCCCACTTCCATGCGGAACGAGGTGGTATGGCAGAGGGAGGGCTGCGCTGCCTGGGTGGGACAAGGCCCAGTGGCCGTGGGGTAGGGGAAGGGCACCTAGTCTCAGCTCCCCCACTGGCTCTGTGGGACCCCAGGGCACGTCCGTTCCCCTACTCTGGGCCTCAGTTTCCCCACATGAGCTTGGAAGCCCCAAGGGCCCTTCCAGCTCCAACATCCCAGGGCTCCCTTCACTTCTTATGAGCCCCTGTGATCTGGGATGCCCCCGCCCTGCCTCCCCCACCCCCATCGCCCCATTCTGAAGCCTGGCACCTACCAGCCCATCTGATCCAATCCGCCACGATTCTACTGGGGGAGCCCAGACCTGCCTGCTTGTAAAAGTACCTCACCAAAAAGTGCTCACAGGCATGAGACTCCACCTCACTGGACTCACAAATGGGACAATAAGCCCTGTACCTCACAGGGCTGTTCTGAGGACAGATGGGATCAGGAATGCCGCAATGTTTGGAAGAGAAAACAGCGCAGCTCCAGTCCCCATACTGTCCTTGCAGCAGAGGTGGGCCCTGGCCTGATCACTGGCCCCCTGGGGTGAGACAGTGATGACCACACCCACCTGCAAGCCCCGCCTTCACTACCCCGGGAGCACCCAAGCCCCGCCCAGCTGGAGCTGACCCTTCTTCCTTGCCTGCTGCCCTGCCCCCCAGACTCTGTGGTTCCTCATCTCCGGGCTAGGCCTGGTCCCTATCACCTCCACCAAGCTGAATACCCAGAACTCGGCTAGGCTTAAGTTTCTGTGAATTGGTCTCTCAGGCCGGCTGGCCTGCCCCCTACCCGGCTTCCTGTTTTGAAGCAGCTCAAACCACCCTGGGCAGGGATGCTGGGTAATGTGGTCAGGCGGCTTTCGTGTGACCCCCCCTTCTTCCTCTGCCACCCCTCCAGCCGCCTGTTTGTGCAAACACTCTGACTCCCCACCTGCCCCCGGAGCCCCTACCTTCATACGCTCATCGGCATTCACTTTGCTGCCCTGGATCAGCTCGATGCAAAACGGCTGCTCCAGGGACCACAGGGATGCAGAGGAGGGCTGAGGAGAGAAGAAGCAGGGCTGGTGATGGGCCAGGCGGTGCAAGAATCCAGAACTCTCTCACTGGGCTCACTCCCCTGGCCGCCACTTGGGGGTGGCGTGAGAGTGTTGCAGGTTTGTGGCAAAGCTCAGACACCAGCCCACAACACCGTCCTTTACCAGAAAACCTGCCACGCAGATGCCCCAGGGGCCCTCTGCCTGAGATCTACAGGCCATCAAGTTCTGCTGAAAGTGCGGGGAGCTGTGTCCACAGGGAAGGGCAGCAGGACAGCCAGCCTCTGCCCCCGAGGACATCGGTCTGTGAGCCTCCCAGGATCAAAGCCCCAACTCTCCACACTGACCAGCCATGAGGCTGGGGGCCCTGGACCCACGGCTGGCCTCGGGTGCCGCCTAACAGGCTCTAGGCTTGGCCAATGGCCAGAAAAAGGGAGGGAAGTGCGAGTTGTGGAGGGCGCCAGCTCACCTTCTTCACAGGAATGGGGGGCGGCTTGGTGCGCAGCTTCTGGACCTGGGGCGTGGGGTTGCTCTGCTCATCCCGCATGGCCAAGATGGAGGAGGAGTGCACCATGGTCAGGTGAGGGGTCAGCCCGCTGTGCAGGCAGCTGCAGATGTACTGAGAGGGGGCAGCATGAGCTGATGATGGGCAGCCCCCAACCACTCACTGGACAACAGGCTCCCCGGGAACACCGCCCCCCTGCTGCAGACCATCGCCGACCCCAGGACCTCCCGGGGTCCCCTCCTGCTGGCTGTCCCAACCCCACCCGCCTCCTCAAGATGGAGTATCTCCAGTATCTCCTTGTGCTCACAGAGAGGTCCGATCCAGCAAGGGGATGCTTCAGCCATGACCCCCAAAGGCCTGGCTCATCAGGCTCAACAGGGGCCTACGGATCAGCTCCCCTCACCCCTAAGGCCCAGCCCAGGGCTGTAGGGAGCACAGACACGGGGCCCCCCAGGCCTCACCTGGAACTGGCAGAGGGGGTAGCTGCCGTAGAGGTACTCGTACTTCCCATTCACCTGCAGCGCATAGTCCTCCGGCCGCTCCACCAGCGGCTGCCGGAACACGGTAGCCTTCTTCCGGAGGGCACAGGCCATCAGCGCCAGGGGCATGTCCTTGGTGGATACCTGGAAGGTGAAGCTCTCCTGGGAGGAGGAGAGCGGGTCAGCCCTCTGTTCTGTGGAGGTCCCATGGCATTCTGGGGCACAGGGGGCCTTAGTTGTCTATAGTAGGCACCCCCCACCCCTGAAGGTGAGACCTCCATGAGGGTCTCATCTGACTGACACTCAGAAGTACTGGTTGAGTGAACGAACAGATCAATGAACCTAATGCCATTGTTATACTGTCATTCCGTTACAGAGACCACCAGTGAAGCCTGGTCCGACTTGCCTGGTGGAAAGTCTGGCTGAGCCCTCACGTGCACAGATGTCTCACAGATACCAACTGATGCTACTGGAGGGAGGTGGATTTGGGGGGTCATGGGGAAGCACCCCCAGCAGAAGCCACAGCAACGTCCAGGTGAGGGGGAGAGGTGGGGCTCACCTCACTGCCCTCGAACTTGACATTGACTAGGAGGACCCGGTTGGGGACGCGCAGGGTGCCAGTGCCCCAGCCCCGCGCCGCAGGCTCCAGCTGCAGAGGGAAGCTGTACTGCAGCCAGGCCTCCCAGCCCAGCTGCTGCCGGTGCGCGGCTGCCTCCTCGCAGAACTGGCGCATCTTGGTGCGGAAGTCGTTCACCTCCGGGTCTCGCAAGGAGTCGAACTCATGGAGGCCTGAGAGACAGGAAGAGGCCGGGTCAGCACAGGGTGTCTGGCAGGCCCAGCCCAGTCGATGTGACCCACCCGCAGGGGCACCTTTGCCGATGACAAGGCTGATCTGTGAATTGATGAGCTTCTTCACACGGTCGCCCTCACGGGCCACCAGGCGCAGGACTGGCAGGAAGGGTTGGATGTCACAGAGTCGACGCTGCTCGTCCTCCAGCTCCTGCTGTTCCGCTGTCTGGTTGACGCAGGTGAACACATAGGCCTCGGGGTCGCTGAGCATGTGGAAGAAGGGCTCATACTGGGCGCGGTGCCACAACACCTGGGAGGGACAGGTGCTGGTCAGCTCCTCCAGCCAAGGCCACAGGGAGCTGGCAGGAGGGAGGCTGGGGGTCCCACTCTGCACAGCCCAACAAGAGGGCAAATGCAAGGATCCAAGACTGGCATCCTCTCCAGAGCCCTTGAGCACCGATCATGTGGTGGCCAGGAATCTCTGTTACTGCTCTGCTCAGAATGTGCAGGCTACACGCTGGGGTCTGAGGCTGAGCGGTGTGGCCCACGGTCTCCCGTGTAGGGTGCAGGGACCACCGTGAGGTTGCCCTGGGAGACAGTTGCTGGGACATGACCTTCAGGCCTCTCCTCCCTCCCCCCGCCAGCGAATCGTTCTGGAGTTCATCCCCCTGGCGATTAGACAAACTCACCTGAGTTCTAAATGTTGGCAACTAAATCAGAAAGGGAGTCCAATTCAGACTGGGTGGTACAAAGGGTTAATGCACGAGGCTGCTAACCAAAAGAATGGTGGTTCAAGTCCACCCACCCAGAGGCGCCTTGGAAGAAAGGCCTGGTCATCTACTTCCAAAAATCAGTCATTGAAAACCCTATGGACCACAGTTCTACTTTGACACACCTGGGGTCACCATGAGTTGGATTCAATTTGATGGCAACAGTTTTTTTTTTTTAAGTCAGAAAAACTTAACATACTGAATGAAAGGGCCAAATAAAACACATCTACAGACCATGCTCAGCTCCATACTGTGCCCCCAAAGTGAGGTCTCCCCAGGAACTCTCCAAGGAAAAGCAGTCCAAGAGTCAAGATTTAGTGCAAAGGCATTCACCACAGAATTACAGAGAATACAGAAAAGAAGGAAACAGTTCAATGTTGCTACCGTGGGAAATGGCTAGTTATGGCACAGAATCTGGGATTCCTGTACATACAGGCACGGAGGGGTCCAAGATATACCACTAAACTGAAAAATCCCAAATTGTACAACAGCAGATATAATTCAAACCCACTTTCATAAAAAGCAACAATAAACATATTTTAACATAGACTAGAGTCCAGCAAACCACGGTTTGTGGGCCAAATCTGGCCCAACGCCTGTTTTTGTAAAGAAAGTTTTATTAGAACACAGCCACACCCATTCGTTCCATATCGTCTATGGCTGCTTTTGTGCTACAACAGCAGAGTTGGCTAGCAAGGTCCAAAATATTTACTATCTGGCCTTTTATGGAAAAAAAGTTTGCTGGCTCCTAGTATAGATAAATATATAAAGAAATTGAAGCTAATTGGTTCACATTTTCTGTGGGGTGAGACTATAGGGGCTGACACCTGTTTTATATTTCTGCAATGTTTGAATCTGAATGGCATGCATGCATAGCTTCTGTGAGCAGAAAAAGTAAGATTAACTTTCAAATTATATTTATATAAAATGACAGTGAAGAAAGATGTTAACTCAGAAAAAAAAAGGACATAAAAGTTCATAATAATCAGAACGATCACAATTATGGAGGAAAAAACACCACAGTCTATACAGAAAACAGGAAACAGCCAGAGTGTTAACTGTGGTTGTCATATGGCTGGATTACAGATTATTTTTTTCTTCTCCTTTTCCTTATCTTCCTAAATTTTAGGGTGTTCGTATTGTTTTTTGCGGGGGAGGGTGGTAAATATATATATGTAACAAAACATGTGCCACGTCAACTTTCTTCACAGGTACAATTCCTAGACATTAATTATGTTTATCACATTATTCAAACATTACCATGTCCATATTACTTTTGTAATGGAAAAAGTAGACTTAATCTTTAAAGAGATCCTCCAGGAAGGGAAGATAAAACTCAAGGATGGTCCATGGCCTCTCCTTTTTCTTTCCTGCTCCCAATTATCACTTTGAAAATTCTGAGAAAGAGTCTCATCCTCTGGCAGCCCAAGGCAAGGCCCATTAAACCCCATACTTTGTAGATGGTAACATGACAATATCTACCAAATACCATTCAGATGTTTCATCCTTTACTCAGTAATCCACCCTGAAAATTATTCAACAAAAACTGTTTCCAAAGATATTTTACTATGGGGTCAGCGCTAAAGACAAAGATTAGTAGAACTCTTAAGAGGCCATGGATGGGGTAGTCCCAACAATGATGTCACAATGGGATGCAAGACCACCACTGAAACCAGCGCCTTGAAACTTCTGCTGTGATCTAGCTAGGATAAACACACACTGTAAAAGGGGGGAAGCTGAATTTGGAATGATATACAGAATATAACTGCAAGTTTTTAAACAATTCTTGGTATTATTTGTATATTTTAAAATTCTTATCTGAGACTCCCAAATCTGATAAACCACGCATGTGAATGTGAGAGTCTATCCGTCTCTCTGAGTTCTAAATTCTGAGGACCCGGCTTAAGGTCGAGGTCATACCTGCTTGATGGTACTGAGGTTGGCATTGCGGGACACAGGGAAGTTCAGATAGACACCCGTGGGCAGCAAGAAGTCAACCGCCACGCTCTGGTTCTCCTCCTTGGTCCAGAATTCCATAGGGCAGTCAACCCCGGGGGGCATCCTGTTCTACCTCTCAGGCGCCAGTTGCCCTGAAAAGGAAGCAAAGGCAAAGTAAGTGACCCAGGTGTTCTGGGCAAGTCAGAAATCCATGACAGCTGGAGGCTCAGGGCTGGGTCTCAGCCCACAGACACACAAAGCGGCCTCCATCTGGGCCTCGTCCTGCCCGGGGTGGCCTGTGGCTCCTACTGCCCAGGCCACGGTCTCATCACACACGGAACACTGTCTGTATCCCTCACTGCAAGGCACCAAAACTAAGAGACCAGTAGACTCACGCCAATCCTTTTTTCCCGGGAATGCACACATCTGGGAGGCCTGGCCATGGTCACCAGCTGACAAGGCCAGGGGACATCAGGGACACTGGTCAGACAACCCAGGACATTAGAAGGGCTGGAAGGTGGTAGTTCTTTGACACTTTATAGGCAGAAACCAAATGGCTTAAAAATGGCTTTGGGTATATACCCAAGAGACTTGAAAGCAGTGACACAAACAGACACATGTACACCGAGGTTCACTGCAGCACTTTTCACAACAGCCAAGACGGAAACAGCCCAAATGTCCATCAGCTGATGAATGGATAAACAAAAGCAGTGTATACACACAATGGAACACTACTCAGCTGTAAAGAGAAATGAAGTCCTGATACATGCTACGACACGGATGAACCTTGAAAACGATGCTGAGTGAAGTCAGTTGCAAAAGGACCAATATTGCATGATCTTACTTGTATGAAATAAGCAAATAGATAGATAGAAACCAAAGATTATTAGTGGTTACCAGGGGTAGGAGGGAGGGGGGAAGGGCGAGTTTTTGCTTAGGGGGCATTGAGTCGATGTTCATGTGGTGGAATGATTTGGAAAACGATATTATATTCAACTAGATGAATGTAATCAATGTTACTGAATTGTACATGTAGAAACTGTTGAATTGGTGTATGTTTTGTTGTTGTTGTTTTGTTTATTTGTCTTCTGCTTTTTTTCTTTTTTTATTGTACTTTAGGTGAAGCTTTGCAGAACAAATAGTTTCTCATTAAACAGTTAGTACACATATTGCTTTATGACAATAGTTAACAACCCCACGAGATGTCAACACTGTCCCTTCTCGACCTTGGGTTCCCTATTACCAGTTTCCTGTCCCCTCTTGCCTTCTAGTCCTTGTCCCTGGACTGTTGTGCCCCATTAGTTTTGTTTTGTTTTATGGGGCTGTCTAATCTTTGGCTGAAGGGTGAACCTCGCGAGTGACATTACTGAGCTAAAAGGGTGTCCAGGGGCCATACTCTCAGGGTTTCTCCAGTCTCTGTCAGGCCAGTAAGTCTGGTCCTTTTTTTGTGAGTTAGAATTTTGTTCTATGTTTTCCTCCAGCTCTGTCTGGAACCCTCTGTTGTGATCCCTGTCAGAGCAGTCAGTGGTGGTAGCCAGGGCACTATCTAGCTGTACTGGGCTCAGTCTGGAGGAGGCCGTGGTAGTTGTGGTCCATTAGTCCTTCGGATTAATCTTTCCCTTGTATCTTGTTTTCTTCATTCTCCCTTGCTTCCGAAGGGGTGAGACCAGCGGAGTATCTTAGATGGCTGCTTACAGGCTTTTAAGACCCCAGAACTACTCACCAAGGTAGAATGTAGAACATTGTCTTTATAAACTGTGTTATGCCAATTGAGCTAGATGTTCCCTGAGACCATGGTCCCCACAGCCCTCTGCCCAGCATTTTGGTCCCTCAGGGAGTTTGGATGTGTCTATGGAGCTTCCATGCCCTTGCCTTGTATAAGTTGTACTGGCTTCCCCAATATTGCGTACTGTCTTACCCTTCGAATTGGTGTATGCTTTGTTGTGTATATTTTCACCACAATAAAAAAAAAGAGAGAGAGAAAGAAAGGGAAAAAAACCTCCTTTGGCCAGTAAACAATTTTTTGCAACATCTCAGCCATACTAGAGTATAAACAAACCCATGTACCATCCCCGGTAAGTAACAAAATGTTACAGACACACTTAAAGGACCTTGTCTACCCACCATAGGAACCCTGGTGGTGCAGTGGTTAGGTGCTGAGGGTCTCCCCACACTTCAGGTTACCATCACCCAGATTCTGGTTGTTTATAATTTCCATGCATGCTTTTAGGCTTTTATTATACAAATACGTATCCAGAAACAATCCCTAATACATATGCATGTTTTAAAACTTTGTATGAATAGTAAGTCTTCTACCTTGTTTTTGCCACTCAGCATTGTTCTTTAGATTTATCCATGCTGATGCATGTAGCTCTGGTTCATTCATTTTAACTCATGTATGATATTTCACTGTGTAAATAAACCATAAGTTATTTACCCCTTCTCTTGTTGATCGACTACATGTGCAGAAAGAGCCAATGGAGAAGCTTAATATCATCAGTCAGAACAAGGCCAGGGCTGACTGCGGAACAGACCATCAACTGTCCATACGCAAGTTCAATCTGAAACTGAAGAAAATTAAAACGAGTCCACAAGAACCAAACTATGACCTTCAGTATATCCTACCTGAATTTAGAGACCATCTCAAGAACACATTCGATGCACTGAACACTAATGACCAGAGACCAGACAAGTTGTGGGATGACATCAAGGACATTATACATGATGAAAGAAAAAGACAGGAATGAAAGAAAAGACCAAAATGGATGTCAGAAGAGACTCTGAAACTTGCTCTTGAATGTAGAGTAGTTAAAGCATATGGAAGAAATGATGAAGTAAAAGAGCTGAACAGAACATTTCAAAGGGTAGCTTGAGAAGACAAAGTAAAGTATTATAATGACATGTGCAAAGACCTGGAGTTAGAAAACCAAAAGGGAAGAACACACTCACCATTTCTCAAGCTGAAAGAACTGAAGAAAAAATTCAAGCCTCGAGTTGCAATATTGGGAAGGATTCCATAGGCAAAATATTGAACAATACAGGAAGCATCAAAAGAAGATGGAAGGGAAATACAGAGTCACTGTACCAAAAAGAATTGGTTGACATCCAACCATTTCAGGAGGTAGCACATGATGAAGAATTAATTGATGGTACTGAAAGAAGAAGTCGAAGCTGCACTGAAGGCACTGGCAAAAAAACAAGGCTCCAGGAATTGACGGAATATCAATTGAGATGTTTCAACAAATGGATGCAATGCTGGAAGTCCTCACTCGTCTATGTCAGAAATTTGGAAGACAGCTACCTGGCCAACTGACTGGAAGAGATCCATATCTGTGCCCATCCCAAAAAAAAGGTGATCCAACAGAATGTGGAAATTATTGAACGATACCATTAATATCACATGCAAGTAAAATTGTGCTGAAGATCATTCAAAAAAGTTGAAGCAGAACATCAACAGGGAACTGCCAGAAATTCAAAAGAGGATGTGGAACAAGCAATGTCATTGCTGATGTCAGATGGATCCTGGGTGAAAGCAGAGAATACCAGAAAGATGTTACCTGTGTTTTATTGAGTATGCAAAGGCAATTTGCAGGAGATAAATGTTTACAGATAATAAGGAAAATGCAAATGAAATAATGGGAGACTATTTATTTCATACCTATATTAGCAAAAATGAAAAAGTTTGACAATTCTAAGTGCTGACGAAGATATGGAGATTTAAACATTATACAACAATGGCATGATTGCTAATTGGTGCTACCATTCTGGAAGAAAATTTGGCAATATTTAATGAAGTTAATGATGTGTATAACCTATGACATGGGGACAGTAGTGGTTCAGTGGTAGAATTCTCGCCTTCTATGCGGGAGACCTGGGTTCGACTCCCATCCAATGCCTTTCATGCACAGCTACCACCCATCTGTCAGTGGAGTCTTGCATGTTGCTATGATGCTGAACTGGTTTCAGCAGAGCTTCCAGACTAAGACCAACTAGGAAGAAAGGTCTGGCGATCTATTTCCAACAATCAGCCAGTGAAAACCCTATGAATCACAACAATTCAATTAGCAACCGATCATGGGGATGGCACAGGACTGAGCAGCATTTCGTTCTGTTGTGCCTGCTGTGGCCATAAGTTGGAGGCTGACTTGAGGGCAGCTAACAACATACGACATATGACAATTCCGCTCAGAGGTAAATACTCCAGCCCTGTGCTGTCCAATATGGTAGCCACCATCCACAGGTGCCTCTTCAGCACTTGAAACGTGGCTAGTGTGACTGAGGAACTGAATTTTTCAAATGCTTTAATTTTAATTCATTTTAATTTAAAAATTGATAATCGATCCAGTTATTAGAAAACTTTTGAGTGTGAAACAACGTGGGTCTGTAAGCCTACTTTTTCACCTATAAATGGTATGAAATCTACATACAAATCAAGTATTTCTGACAAAAATTTAGCATCTAAATTGCAATGTACTGTGTTAAATACACACCAGATTTCAAAGACTTAATGCAAAAAAAAAAATAGTAAAAATGTTTCATTTATCTCCTGCTAATTGCCCGCTTATAATCTTTGCCCGTTTTCCCATGGGTTGTCTTTTTCTTACTGGTATGTAGGATTTCTTTACATATTCTAGATTCAATTCCTTTGTTGGAAATATCTTGTCCTAGTCTGGGTTATCTTTTCACTTTGTTTATGTGTCTTTTGATAAATAGAAGTTTTCAGTGTTGATGTAGTTGAATTTATCAATCTCTGCCTTTCTGTTTTATGATTTTTTTTCTTTATCCTAAGGTCATATTCTGCTAAATTTAAATGACTTTTAAAAAGTAGTTGAAAGGAAATGTCTGGTATAAGAGACAAGTTGCTTTGGTGGCTCCACCAGCTAGGCCAAGGCCTCGCCCTTGGTTCTGAGCAGCGGGACCCACACATCACCTGGCATGACTTCCTCTGATTGTAAAACCACATCCTAGCTGGGTTCCTCTTTCTGAGACTGGCCACACCAAAGATTTTTTTGATTCAAAACTCAAGGGACAGTCAGAAATTCCAGAGAATCACTTGCAGTCCTAAATATGCTTTGGCCAAGCTTGGAAAGTCAGGGGGCACCTTTGGGCACCCAATCCTACGAGACTGAGATGGCATGAGCTCCCAAGGGCT